ATTTTGTACTTATATTTTGTGATTGTGATTTCTTAAAGCAAATGTAGCAAAAGACTTTTAATAACTAACGTTAATGGGTCTTTTGACATAGAAGATGTCGAGACAGTTCAACATTTTTCTTCTCTGAGATCCCGGTCACAGAGATACTGCAGCCAACTATAGATAAGTTAACTTATCACGGTACCAAAGTAATGTCTTCTTAGGCATTTCAATTATATTAGCATAGAAAAGTTTTTAACACACACCTTTGAATAAGATATCGAGACAGTTCAACATTTCTCGTTTCTAAGATCCTGGTCACAGAGATACTGCAGTACTGCAGACAACTTAAGATAAGTTAGCTTGGAACAGTACCAAAACAATGCATTTTTTGACATAGAAACGTTTTTAACTACTACACATCTTTAAACGAGATATCGAGACAGTTCAATATTTCTCTTCTCTAAGATCCTAATCACAGAGATACTGCAGACAACTTAAGATAAGCTAGGTTGGTACGGTACTAAAGGATTGCATTTTAAACATTTATATAACCTAAACATATAGTTATTTAATTATAAAATTGTATAAAATTGTTAAATATCAAATGGAAAGGAACAACAGTATGTTGACGTCAAAACGCAAGTTGCATCCCTTTAAATAAAAAAACATCAAGCGTTCTTATAGAAGTATACCGTAGATATATCTAAGGTAAAATTACTCATAATCGACTACGCCAGACAGTTGGTAAAAGCCCCGCGATATTTGAAGAATTCTATTATTCAAAGGGTTCTCAATATAGCCAAGGTATCTAATGGCATTCAAACTCGTATTGCGAAGTATTGTTTGAAACTAGATACACATTCTAACATCGAAGCCAGACAAGTGCTTCTCACCAACCCGGCATTTCGTTTTAGCAGAAAACAGCTGCTTAACCCGTAGAAAATTTGTAATATTAATTTAGTTTTCTTTGATTAATAACATTAAGCATTCTCTGTTAAATATGTATACTCACCTAATTTTTAAGAATTTATATTACTTATTGTTAATTTCATTTAGAAAGATTCAATAAAGCACATAATTGGAATAAAACAAAATGGTTTATTATTGGTTAGAAAACCATGTAAAGAGATTGAATATTGCTTTCAATGAATGATTTTTATTGCAGCTGTCAGTAAGCCTAAGAAAGTGCTTCATATCTATCTATCCTAGCACTGCATAACGTAAGTTTAAGTTTTCTTCCAATAAACTATTTTCACTGCAGTTGTGAATAAGTGTTTCACATCTATGTACTTTGGTATTATACATCTACTCTAAGAAGAATTACTTTCATGTTTAACGATGGCAATGGTTTTGAGTGTTATGACTTGAGTGTCAAAATGAACCCTATGAACACATCGTACTTTAACAGTATTTAAGTGTCTTAAATACCATAACCAACAGCCATTTTTAGTGTGTTTCGTGGAATCCATCTAATTCATAAAACTATCATCACCCTTTCGAGCAATACTTTCATTGCGAAACATACCAAAACCTACTTTCTGTTATATGTAATTCCGTAACCTTTGTGGGCCACTTGTATATGAAATGGTGGCACTCTGATTTTTAAAACGAAGTCGCTGCTGTTTTCCTTGTCAACTACAGCAAAGTAATCTCGAAATTCAGTAAAATTTGTTTAATTGAAGGGATTGATTTTTCAGTGCAATTCACTCTCAATGTAAGAGGAATTGGTTTGTTTTCCTGAGAAAATCCATCAATATTAAAGCTCCTATAGTGGATTTCTTTCACTCTTTTTGGTATATTTTTAATTTCAATTATTTAATTTTTAAATATTTTTAAAGAAGAAATCTTCATTAAAGTAGAAATCTTATATAAATAAAAAAATTTATATAATCTATTATATAAATCTACATTTATATAATATTATATAAATCTACATATAAATCTATTATAAAGATCTACATAAATAATTTTAATTTTTGATACTGAATGATTGTCGAACTGAATGATAAATAATTAGTAAAAATGAATTAATTATATCTAAAAATTTTAATTTTAATTATTTTAATTTTTGTCTGATCTGTAGCAACTATTTCGAATATTGCCAAATATTCCTCATCTTTAAGTCTTCTAAACATTTGAAAGCTTAACAGTTCGTATATAATTTTTGACTAGATCTGCCAATAAAAGAACTTCTTCAATTTAGAAAATTTTAAAATAAATGTTGTAGGAAAAAAATATTATTACAGATATATTTGCTTGGTGAGCGCAAATATCTATAAATACTCTCAAATATTTTTGAAAAATTATAAAAAAAATAAATAATCAATCTACCGCAATGGAACTTACACAGAAATATTTTTAAGAATTTACCATTTATATCATAAAGAATTATAAAAAAATAAATGATTTACTAATAATAAAATACAAGAAATAATTCCAAAGCCACTGTGGATGGGTATATGGCAATACTGGAAACAGGTGTATGGTCACCCAAAAATTCAATTAATTAAAAATAAATAAAATATAGTTGTTGCAAATTCACTACTGTTTGAAACCTCTCTAATAAATGCAATAGTTTTTAATAAGTAAAATGGTCCCTACGGTCATAACTAATGTTAAATTACAATTTAAAAAAAACTATTGTAGAAAATAGTTATTTAAAAAAATATTTATTTACTGAAATTTAAATTTAAATTTATTTGAAAATAAATTTCTTCAAACAAAAATATTTGATTATTGTTTGATTATAATTATTAAAAAATAACCATATCAGTTGTGGCAATGCCACTTATATACAAATATTCTTAGAAATTAATACAATATTCAGAAATTAATTATTTATATCATATAAAAAATGTTGTAAGGAAAAAAATGTATAAAAGAAATATTATCTCGTCAAGCGTATATTTCTTTAAATAAATATTTTTGAAAAATTATTATAAAACAACCAATTAATTTATTGTTTACACAATTCACATAAAAATAATTATTTTAATTATTTTATCACAATCATTAAGTCGAAAATAAACTGTTTTAATTATTCCTTGAAAAAGTATTTGTAGTACTTCAGTCAAATTAATATATTTTCCAGTAAAATTCTAAATTTTTTAATAAAAGCAATTTTATCTTAAATAAAGTTAGCAAACTTTATATAAAACTATTTAGATAAAACATCTACAGCAATGGAATGGAATTTCAGTAAAAATATTCATCATTTTTAACTTATGATCTATTATTATGTTTTCATAAACTTCCCGTTTAATATTAAAATTAAGTTTAAATACAGTTGTTACCGACTAATTGGTCTAATGAGGAAGATTTTGTAAGCAATGGAACAAATGCGTTAACATATTTAACAAAATCATCCTACTGTACTTTTGACTACATATGGAATTTCCAAGAAGTCTGAACTAAAACAGCGCAAGAAAGTTACATCAGAAACTTTACTTATTAATCTGAAATTGTGGATTTACTCAGATATTTTTAGTCTTGGCTATGGAAACTATTTTAATTTATTCATATGCGAAAATAAAGTTGCCTCACGGCATCCTAACAATGTTGCACACGGTAAAGACTTGTCAGTAGCTATGAAATCTACCTACATTTTGCATATATATTTTAATAAACAAGTGCATACTCAAAAAGTGGTAAATTTTAAGTCACCTTACTAAGTTTTATCTATTTTAATAGACTAGCAATATGATGGAAAACATTTTTAAATAGACAATTTTTATCACACAAATACTCAAAATTATAAAATACATAAATAACATTATGTTGTCAGTATAGTCCAGATCTTCCATTTAAAACTTTATTCGTGATTTCAGAGTGCCCCACAGTTTCGGTTTTTAGCTTTGATTTTTTTGTTGTCGCGAACGAAAGGACAAATAAACCATCTTTACAAAACAAAATGTTCGATGATTTTAGGTACTGTACTTTAATCAGGTAAAAATATGAGGACATCTTTTTCTTCTAATGCGCTCTAGATAACTTTTCTTGTAACAGTATGAAAAAGATTTTTGTGATCTATGGGGATGAGGTGTAACAGAGTATTGTACTCCTTATATGGTTTAACGATGAGTCTTAAGTATTCATGTGATCAATGTACAATCCATTTACTCCTAATTCAGCTTATTCCTTTTTCAGTAATTTTTTTGTTTAAAAAATGGTGAAACAATGGCAATTTGGTATTTCAATTAGATATATCTAGGTTACAACTTAACATATACTTGTAACCTAAAAATTATCTATAGTTACAATTACAGAACACGTAAAAAACAGGACAAACAAAACCTTAGAATATTTCCATCGTTATTGTCCGGTGCTTTCGATTCTCAAACTTCTTTAGAAATTTCTTAAACAAACTTCCTTAGAGCTACCAAATTTGAGTAGCTGAACTTTATCCCTTATGTTCTTCTTCTACTTCTTTTCTTGATAAAACGTATCTAAAGCAGTTCAATAGTGTTCGTGACCACTAGTATGATCCACTGTAATAATACCTCCGTTGAATTTTCGTAAAAAGTAATTCAGGTGACTTTATAATAGTATACTTAGAACTCAGCATATCTTTCTGTCAGAATATATATTGGATTTGATTTGAGAGAGTGCAATGCGCCTTATGTTGAAGTGAACTATATCATAATGTTCGCATTTATACGTGGTTTGGAGTAGCCAGCACTAACTACCTACCTAGTTGAGCAGTGACAGTATGCAACTCTGAAGTTAAGAGACTTAGTTCATAATTGAATATAAATTAAATTAAGCATAGCATTTCATATGCAATATGTTATTTTTGGTATCAATCGATCGATAATTTATTTTTGTTACTAGAAAAAAAGAATTTATACTCCTTGGTAGTAATATGTTGTCATTTTTTATTTAAAAAAATTTATCTTTTTTTGTTTATAGACTAAGAAAGTTACATTATATATAACAACGTTTATTATATTCAAAAATATAGTATTTCGCTATATTCCTAATATATGAGTTATTATATAAATTTCTTTTTATATTTACAGACAAAAATCGTAATGCTAGTCCATCCGTCTCCAATGATAAAAAGTCCATAGTTGAAGCAGTTGATGTTGCCTCAACCAGCGATGCTAAACTGAAGCCAAGGTCACGGTATGTATACCAAATTTTCTCTAATTGAATTTGATATATTCTATTTTTGGTTCTTTATTAAACAGAATATAATTAGTTATTTAGTTAATATGAAATTTTTTCTATTTTTTAATGTGTATGATATTATATATATATGACCTCAATGTAGACTCAAAAATGGTATCTAAATTAAAGGGTAAAGCAAATTAACATCTTTACTTATTATAATAATAAAATTTGATGGGCAAATGAAGCTTAAAGGGCTAGTCTTATATAAAATATTCATTTAATTTTAATTTTTAAAGTCAATTATGACAAAAGTTGAAAATGTAATATAGAACTATAATGGGAAAAAAATCTTAAAAAAAGTGATTTGTTCAAATTTTCTTTTTTTCGCCTGAGCGAAGCGTAGAGTAACATTAGGATCTATGCACAAGAAATAATACAATAAATAATGCCTTAACAAAAAGAATAGCCTTTAAAAAGTTTTAACAATTAAAAATATATGTTATATATAATATATTATAAATATAATATATTACAGCAAGTGGATTTGTTAATGAATTTTCACAACAAATTGGCAAAACTCCAAGTTCGAACATACAAGTGATGTACGGCTTTTGGGTAATGAACACTGATTCGGAGCTTGAAATTTGGCAGGGCACAAGTCTTAGCACAATCCTTAGTACTTGCAGTTTTAAAAAAACTATTTATGAAAAATTAAATAAAAGAATTAATTCCGAAACCGCTGTTGATGGGTATTTGGCAATACTCGAAACAGCTGTATGGTTAGCCAAAAACTCAATTGATTAATAAATAATAAAAAAATTAGGTTGTTGTAATTCAATACTATTCAAAGTACGTCTCTATTAAAACTTGATTTAAAACTAACTCATTTTGAATTTTTATTGAATATTTATTTTAATTAATTTTTGTTTTTGCAGCTCACTTATAAGACGTGCTTCACGCAAAACTAAACAACAGATCAACAACGCACCGGAAGATTGCAATGTCCAATAAATGAATTAACTTAAAAACAGGGTAAAATGCTTCAAAATCTACTCACTGATTAGATTTATCTAGACTATGAGAAAATAAAATTTTTTTACATCAAAAATAAAATATTTAAAAAATTTATTACAAGTATATATAAAATTAGGTATTTGTTAATTAATGTGCATTTGATACTTGTATTTTGTGACAATTGTTAAAATCCATTTAAAATATATTATATTAATATTATTAAGTAAGTAAATATTAACTGAGATGGTTATGAGAAGTTGTTAGATTAAATTTTTATACTGCTAGTAACAAATATGCAATGATATCTGTGTAGAAATAGTTTAGTAAAAAGTTTTGTAATTGCTTGAATATGTATAAATAAAATGCTAGTCTGGTAGGATATATTCGTATGTAATACTTTTTCAAATATCTATAAATGTATGCTTAATATACAAATTTTAATGCTACGATACTCAACACTATAATACTTTATATATTCAAAAGTAAACCAGTTACTATACAATTGCAAGTAAAAAAATATGGGCAAAAATTTGTTATATATCAAAACAAAGTATAATGTTTCTTTTTGAATTATGTTTTTTTAATTAAAAAATAAATTATGTAAATTGTGTGTTATAATTTCAGTAAACCAAAAAAAAAATTAAATTCGCACAAAAAAACGATGGGACCAGCTTTAATTTGCTCCTAATATCTTTCTTTCTTTTTACTGATTTGCATTTATAATTTCTTTTATAACAAAAGATTTCAAGTACATATCCGTTTTGGCAGCTGCTTCCTTGTTTCACAAAAAAACAACATCCTTGAGTTAGAAAGAAATTAGTCATAAATATGTTTTAACATTCCAACATTAACGAGTCTCATTAAAATTATGATGTCTTATTTTAATGAACTTCAGGATTTTACAACGGAAGTCAGAAGTTTGTAACGAATCCAATAATTTCTTGGCTCTTCTGTTCTCTTTCATGTTAATTAAAATAATTAAGATAATTTGTATTTTTTGTAAATAACATTGTTTGTAATTAATAATTTTTAAATTAGTTAATATTAAAATTATAGCAAAAACAAAATTTTTTTGTACTTCAAAAAATGATTTTTATATGGAGGAGTAATTAATTTTAGGCAAATTTTTACAAACTTAATTAAATAGAATTTAACTAAAATCTAAATAAATTTTAAAATACACGCATGAAGTAGAAAAATAATTCTTATATATAAGAAACACATACTCTTTAATGTGTTTAATTGCACAAAAATTTAGTTTATTTTTTTTAAATATGTACTCACTACTACATTATCAGTTCGCAAAGCACTTAACTAAAATAATAGAAAAATTATAAATTCAAGGAAATATTTGAAATATCTACTAATAAATGTAGATCTACTAATAATGCATACTACAAAAAGAACTTTAAGGTTATACATACTTTTTATAAGCATGTAGTTGATACAAAATAAAAATGATTAAACTCTTAAGAATTCTGTATATTATAATTTATTAGAATATGTATTATACATTCCTTTAAAAATCTTAGGAATAAATGTTAATAGATGTTACTATTTTATTTTTTATATATAATTTTATTTATTAAAAACAACTATTACCAACGCACCAAACTCATCAATTTTCTTAAGTTTTGAAATGATTTGCATCCTGGTTTGTCCTTTTTGACACTACAACAACCAATTAGACAAAAGCAACAATTTATTTTCATTGCCATTGAGTATAGCAGACTTAAGTTAGCTTAAGTTATAACAGCGATCAAAAAAGTCTCCACTTAAGCCTATTGACCTATTGTGTTATCGTATAAGGAAAAAACTCAGAAACTTAAAAACCACATTAAAACTTTGGTAAAGCTTAAAATGCTATGTGATGGGAAGTCTAGGAGTTGACTAAGATCTTCAAAAAGAGAGAACATTAGAATAGTAAAGCGGAAAGAGGCACTTTCATCGTCAATGGTAAAAATATTCTTCTAGCATGGTTCCCTAATGGGCAATGATCTGTAAGCAAACTTACAGTTAGACTGATAACTCTACGATTCGTCTCAATGAGAGTGTTGTGTTGGATTTCTTCTTAATATAACGTGAAAAGGTTTAATAAAGCTTAAAATCTATCAACTACTTATTAAAAGAAGAGTTTAACATATGTAGAAAAAGACTACAACAAGGTGAGGTGATTGCTGACGGCGATATTTTCAAAAGTGTCAAAATTTTATCCACCATATCAGTCTGTAAATCAGATGAAAAAATAACGTTGCAAATAGGTGCTACTATTTATCTTCTGAGTACCCATTTGGGAGGTAAAACTCTCTCTTAAGACGGACAAAACATACTCTTTATAGGTCACGTATCCTAACTGTATTTCTTTATAAGACACTGAAGTTTTAAAGCTTTCACAGAATGATAAAACAACAAACGGAGTGTTTGACAGAATACTTGTTAAGATCTTCCGTCTTTTACGAGTTGACGATGACTACTGCATCCAAGTGAACCACAAACCTTATACTGCCTTTTTAAGACATATACATCATTCAACAAATTAACATCCATGGACTTCTCTGGTTTATTAATGCCGTCAGAATGATGATGTTCCAGCGATAAAAATATTTAAAACGCAGTTAGGAAGACGTAGAAGAACACCAAATCTATAGTGAAGTAGTCACGTTGATTAATCGTAGACTAACCGCGGTGCATGTACGGGTCTTAAGAAAGCACACACGTAACATAGCTGAAACTCGATAACGGGTTGTTATGGCCAAGTAATTATAGTGAGTAAAAACTTGCTCTAAATATTTGCGAGGATAGAAGAAAAAAAAACATTTTTATAAATTTTCACTGTTAGCAATTTATTTACTGCAAAGAACATTAAAAAATTAAAAACTTCCATCGCAATTAAAGATATGAAAATTTGTCTCAGCAATTTTAGCGCCACTTCGTCTTTTCGACTTTATGTAGAACTATAGCGGAAAAACCCTTAGGTATGTAAACCTACATAGATTGACCAACATTATTCTACTTAATTCGTTTTTTGTCATTTTTACTGGCTTGAAAACGGGATATTAAATTTTATCTCTACCACAACCAATTTCCCAAAAAAGAATAATACATACGAACCCACCCGTCAAGCCTTTCGATCGTAGACAAATAGTGCAAATAGGTTATACCATTGTAAACTAAAAAAAATATATGAGAGAGATAGAGAAGAATTTCCAAGTCAATAGCTATACAAACGGTGTAATAAAACCAAATCAAATAATATTTCTTCATATATTTTGAATTTTGATATTTGTTTATTCAAATTTATTGTAATTAATAAATAACTAAGAGAAGTTAGCATAACCTAAATTCTTAGAATTGTCTTATAGAAACACTTTCATGTTCAGTAGTCTTACTTTTCGCTTTAGAAAAGATTAATTTAATACTTTGATTTTTTTTATTTATATTCAAAAAAAAATTTTCAACAAACCAATTTTTTTATTGTATTAATTTTATATTTTTATTTATTTTATGAAATTATTTAAAAGAAGTCAAGTTACCCGTAAATACCTATTTAGTCATAATTTTCTAAAAATATTAAAGTTAAAGAAATATTATTATTTTCTTTGCTTATACTGAATTGACTTTAATCAGGGCTCATTATCATCTCATCAATCATTACGAAAATCTATTATTGAAATACTCTTCATTTACACTTAATTAAGTTTTAATGTACTTCTGCTCATTTCTTAATCGACTCCTAATCAGCTCTTCATATATCAATTAAGAGTTTTCTTATGTATTTATTATTATTTTAATACTTTATCTAGTCCTTAATATGGAGAATCTACCAAACTAAAACGACTTAATCGCTTCTACCGAATTTAGCCCTATGCATATACATTTTTATATATTAAATGAAAAAAAAAACAAAAATTATTTCAATAATTAGTAAAGTAACGAAAGATATTTAATAATAAACCATTGTAAATCGTGTAAAAATATTAACGATGCAAAGTGAATTGTGATCAAAACTAATTAAAATTAATATAAATATTTAAAATTTATATTAGTTTTAATATATTAAATACTAAACTAAGTAAATTTAAAGTTTTAGTAAAATTTCAGTATTAATTATAATTAATTAATTATAATTATAGTAAAAAACTTTTAGATGTAAATTTAAATAAATTTCAGATTTTAACATAACCTAAATGAAAATATATCAATTTATTATATATATTATATATAACAAGGGTTATTAAATATAAATAAGTGTTAAATAATTGTTGTTTATCGTATTGTTTGTAAATAAATTGTTTTTACACATGTTAAATAGCAAATGGAATAGTAAATTTATTTATTATTAATATTATTGATATATATACAATATTAAAAGGATTTATAAAAATTATCATATAAATGTAATTATTCATTTTCAAATAAATTCTTTAATAAACTCTTTATGAAATATCATAAAGTGTGTAAAAATAATGAAAAAGAAAGAATAACTGATGGAATCGGACATAATTTACACTTAAGTACACATAAATATTTACATCCAAAGGATTTTATTAAATAAATAAAATTATTAAATAAATTTAAATGCAATAAACGCGTAGTAATGCGGATATATGCGAATGACTATTAAAAATGAAAGGACGTAGTATGATATGAACCATGACGAGGTCAAATGAAAAAACAAATAATATATTTAAATTAAATGTACGACTTTATGAATATGTATTTAAATAAATGTCCATTAATTAATTAAATCATTAAAGTGGCAAAAGCAAAATATATTTTGTATTAATGTAAGAATTTTTTTAATGGCTTATGGGGAATGGTGAGTCCTTTGCGATGTAATTATTTTTAAGTGAATTCTTACTACTTGGATTTGCCTATATTTGCTGTGCAATTGTGTTTTAATTAATGCAATAACCATATAAAGTAGGATTTCAGTATGCAACGACACGATTTTGTTGAGATCATGAAATTAAGACTCGGTTCGATGACTGCAAGGGGAAAATGTAATACCATAACAATTCAACTGAAATCGCAGGTGCTTCAAATGTTAATAATACAGAGAAAAAGTAATTTGATTAAAAATATAAAATACATTTATATGTTTGTCTTTTCCTTTAAAAGTAAACAAAAATAATAATTGAGAATGAGACTTTTATTAAATATAAATGGATTCAAGATTTATATAAGAGTAATACTAGATGAATCAACAATTTCCAACATGTAATTTATCTACCTGTTTTATATAATTATTAAAGGCTTGATGTGAAATCGTCCAACAGCCGGTACTACGTTCAGAAGAGTCCTATTGTACCAATTTCACAATTGATTACACAAAGCCCTTTAAAGCTTTGTGAACAAAGTCCAAAACTAAATCTAGAGAAGAGCACTTAATCTATTCTGTTCTGGTGAATGTTTTTATAGACCCCAAAATAAAAATTATAGGAATTTTTTGGAGTGATTTAGTCCATCTGAAGACTTACAAGGAATATGCTTTGAACTTTCGATATCCATGTCACAAAAAATGAACATCAGTCCCAACAAACCCTAACTTCTTATAAGTGATATAGCAGGTTTAAGCAATTTTGAAGGTAACCAGATAGTGTTTATAAGTCTGCCCTGTTTAGCGTGAATATTTTACATGATATTTCGTTCGCTGAGATAAGAAATTGATTTGATTGATGGTGATCTATACTATTAAGCGTAAGGTCTGCAAATTTTTTTCCTCATATTTCTAAAAAGTAACTAAAAAATAACCGTAATAGCTCTCGCAATGCATTTAATTTAGAAATATTCTTCAAAAGCATAAAAATATATTGCAGGAGAAAAAATTTATTTAAAAAATAGGAGCTGGCTGACAGAATACTTCTATGAAAATATATTTTAAAAGTAATTGCAAAATAGTAATCTAAATAATTAAATTTAGATTTATTCTTTAAAAATTGTACTTTCATCTCAAATTAAAAGATGAAAAAAATACTATAGGGGAAAAAGGTTATTAAAGAAATAGTATAGACGACTATAATTTCTAATTTCTAATTTATAATTTCTATTTATAATTTCTATAAAAATTTCTTTGAATATATTTTTAAAGAATTATGGAAAGATATATTAGATATATTCTTTATAAATTGTGTTTTCATTTTCAGCTTAAACCGCACAAAAATATTATGGGAAAAAAAGTGGTTAAAGAAATAGTCAAAGGACATCTTATAGAATTTCCGGAAAGGTTTTTATTGGCTCTCTTTTTGAATGTTGTGGCGTTCTACATTAAAGATTTTCTAAAGTCCGCAGGTCTAGCATTTCATTTTATATATTTTAACTATTTTTAAATACAGTCAAGAAAATTTAATTAGTACAAGTTATTGAATTATTTTTATCGAATTTAAATTAAACAAATTAAATATATTTACATCAAAAAGCTAAACTGAAACTGGAAATTTAAATTTTATAAATAATTTCATTTAACAAATTTCAGTTCTCATTGCAAATAAATCTTCGAAGCAAATTGAACTTCCACAAGTTGTATTCCTGCTACAACTCCGACAACAGGAAATTATTGGTAATTGAATGTTGTATCCTGCAATATGTAACCTTATCCTTGTTCTCTGTAAATTGAGACAATTTAATTACAAAAAGTAACACAACAATGAACTTGAATCTGACCACGAATGAAGAGCACAGGACCATGAAAGTGAAAAGTCTTTCGCTGCTCTATCTAATAAAGAAATATACGTGAATGTGGTCACAAAGTATACATATTGACCAGCGTAAGTAATATTGTAATAAAGCAACATCATATCATTACTCCAACTGACCACAAACCGAAGCATATGAGAAGCACACAAAAACCACTACACAACAATCTCTCACAACAAGCACCTCAAAATTAGCAGATGAGGATGTTATTAAGTGCGGTCTTGCCCATTTAATAGTTAAGAAGTGCAATTAGTCTCCTTATTTTTTAATTAGACTCATAATTATTATTGACTTAAAAATTAAAACGTCAAACCCAAAATTTAATATAAATTTTGTTTTTAAGTAATTTGAGAACCACAAGACTTTTTATATTAAAATAAATTTAATGGGCATCACTTTGTCATGGTAAGAAAAGAACGCCAAAGGTATAATTTTATTAAGATATTTTTTTAAAAATAAAATTCACTTATCAATAAATAATTTTGTAAATAAATTATATCATATCTAATAAAAGTCAGGGAAATTTTTACTTTTAAATGTAGTTCCTAGCATTGCTGTATGAGCACCAAATTCAGGTGGTAGATACAATTACATTACAGAGAAATATGAGGCTTACTTATGATTTACCTAACATTTGGGTGAGATATCACCATTAGGATATCATAAAGTGATACCATTAGGAGGCTGATTTCACACTATTCAATTTAGAAATTGAATTAAATCGACCTATGCTAAATCACAGTGATCCTCACTTTGTATAAATGGGACAGATACTTAAGGAAATGAAGTACCCTCTGACAGTGTTAACTACTGATAGAGTTTTCTATTCTCCATCACTGACTGTCAACCTTAACAAAACTAAAATATAATGCTGAAAAATATGATGAAATTAATGAAAGTGAATAAAAAAATCCAAAACCTCATTTAAATTTTTAAATTCAATCCATCAATGTTTAGTTTTGATTTTATGGCATTTTTCAATAATATTGTAATATTGTTCTATATACTATCGAATCTGTCAAGAATTTATTTATCCTGGTACCGCTGTGACGAACAATACCAATATCAGGCTGCATATCTCACGAAAGAAAAACTAACGTTCTATAGGAAGCTCATCCTATCTGTGCTTCTGTATGGCGCATAAGCATTAATGGTATCACAGAATGCCAAGCAGCACTAGGAGTTTTCCTCTACGAGTTGGCGACGGCTACCGCATCCAAATGAACCACGAGGCATACGAGCTTAATCTTGATATTGATATAATGCAACAAATTAACATCAAACTGCTTCGCTGAGTTGGTCACATCATGAGAATAGATGACATTGCTTCACCAAAATAGCTGATTGAAACGGCAGTTGAAGGAAAAAGACGTAGAAATAAATCGTGTCTTCGGTGAAGTGATCAATGTAAAGGAACATTAACCGCACTTGATGTAGGAGAATACAGGAGGCACCCATGCATCAGAGGCGGGAGAAAAGTGCTGCGTCAAGTCGCAATCCGATAACGGGTTGATTTAGTCAATTTAGTTAGAAATTATGGTAAAAAGTTACAGTGGCTTATTTCCATGCAGAAAGAAATACCTTTTTTAATCTTGCTACGCTATAAAACTAAATACTATCTTATAAGCGACACACTTTAACAATCATATCTCATATATCGTTAACGACTTTAATACAATATGACATCAACGAAATGGGGGAACAAGTGTTGATCATTTGTTTTGATCTTATTAAAATCATCATAATATTACAGGTATCAGAATACTCCAATTTAGTTTTAGTGTCACGTTCGCAAGTAAGTTATTGTTGTTCCAGCCAAGTAAGTTATTTTGTTATTCTTAGGCCGTGTGCTATGTGAGAATTATAACCTATTATACCACAGGCACAATATTAACTTTTAGGACAGTTCAAACTATTTGGATTTTACTAATATTCTAATAAATATATAGTTATACGAAGAGTTCAAACTATTTAAAAATATTTAATAATCCGAATAACCTGAACAGCACTACATTAAACAGTATAAATCTTTTCTCTATGTTTATGATGATTTCTTTTCTATATCATAATAGAACATTAATATATACCGAATGCTTTTCCCGAGTTTGTAATTCGTCAACTGTTATTTAATTAAATATTAAATTTTTAGATTTAATATATCTTTCTGCTGCCACAGAACATTTAAGTTATTTACAAGTTTAAATAATATTAATGCTTAATTAAATTAATTTATAAATGAAACTAATAAAAGCAACTAAGAATTGAGCAACGATAAATGCAATTTTCTAAAAATAATTTTTTTTATTTATGATAATTATTTTACTGATATTATGATATATACAAAAAAAAAAACCTTTTATTTTATTAACATAATAAATATCTTAAATTTTTAAAAAGAAAATATAAATAAAAGAAAGAAAATTACTTGGCTTGATATCACAATTATATATTTTTTGGATTGAAAAGTGTAATAAATTTATACTATTACATAAAAATTTATTTTTAAAGAATTTTAATATTTATATTTTCTTTAGAATCAACGGTATATAATTATAAAACATATACATGATATTTAATACAATTTATTATGTACGTACAATATGTATGTATGTATAATATGTCATGACATTAATGTCAAAATCATAGTGAAATAAATATTCTATAATCCACCCTAATTTTGAAATTGAAATACTAAAAAATACAACTCTGCATTCATATGTTTTGCTTTTCTCACATATATTTAGAAACTTCAATTGCAGTAGAAACAAATCAAAAATAAGTTCATCAAAATTTTTACAAGTAAAGAACAAAGACAAAGAAAGAGGAACTTAGTTTTTCAGTTGATTTTGGAAAAACAAATAATTAAACAAAATGTCTGTACGCCATGATTGGTACCAATCAGAAACCGCCGTAGTCGTCACCATAATGCTCAAAAACGCAGTTGAGAAGAAATACAAAGTTAATATCACTCCAGAGCGGCTTGAGGTGTCTGCAGAGGACTACGAGTTCAACGTAAATTTATTTCGTCCTATTAATGTTGAGCGCTCTTCGCACAAAGCTTACTCCACTAAAATTGAAATAAATCTTGCCAAAGAAGTAGGAGAACGCTGGAATAGTTTAGAGTTTCAAGAGTCAAATGCTACCGCTGCCGTTGGACTGCCCACAATACATAAAAAGAATTGGGATGGTATAGCAAAAGAAGTTGAAAAATCTGAAGAAGCTGAAGCTCAAAACGAGGACGCTTTACAACGTCTGTTTAAGAAAATATATAGTTCATCCTCGCCAGAGGTACAAAAGGCTATGAATAAGTCATTTTCTGAATCAGGTGGTACTGTATTGAGCACTAATTGGAATGAAGTATCCAAGGATAAAGTTAAAATTCAACCGCCAGAGGGAACGGAATTTAGAAAATATGAATAAGACTTACCAATTGCCTGCTATATTATAATAACCCCAATGTACACGTAGATATACTCAATGTGAGCCCCCAATGCTTTAATTATTTATTTTGTTATTTCACTTATGTTAAAGGTAATTCAACTAATTTGCTATTTATAAATTAACATGTTAAAACAATTTAAATAAATTTTTCACCAGATATTTCTAAAATTGACAAACTGTTGTTTTTGCAAAATAACCGACAACTTTCAGTAAACACAAAACAAAGAGCGGAAAATATAATTTTATTATAGTGGTGACACTCTAACTGTTGTGTCGCGAAATTTTTGTAATCAGCTGTTTGAAGCTTCTAGATTATATTTAGTTATTGTAACTGTTATTTTGATATAATCTACTTAATCTTCTGCAAAACTATTTGTTATTATATCATGATTCATTGATTACTTACAATGCCCAAAGAAATAATTATGTTATTTTAATAGCCCTTAATGGTCATTTTTGTCAAAAGTGTTGAGTCAAACAAGCTGTTTTTAGTTGTTGTTAACAACATACAATGATTAAAAAACTTGCTGTATTATCAGTGCCTGTAAAACTGCGACTTTTTCAAATAATGACAATCAGCTGTTTTGAGGTTCCTATAATTCACATTGTTGAGTTTCATTTGTTGTTAATTTTAAATAATGGCTCTTAAATATATTGGTAACAAAATAACTTAGATTAGTACCAACAAAAACGTTATAAAAAATAAACAAAAATTTCAGATATTGGTGCTAATTTGACTGATAGCATGTTTCGTGGAATTTACGGCGGTGTTCAGAAACATCAAAATGATTTTCACTTGGTGCTTGAAAGAGCATGGAAACAAGGTTTGCAGAAAATGTTCATAACTGTTGGTACATTAAATGAAGCAGGCGAAGCTTTGGCATTGTCCAATCAAGATGGTACTTTAGAATTCAACAAGTTTACACAATATTTTTATCACATTGTTTTTGCATTTAGAGCGACTTTTTGTGACAATGGGCTGTCATCCAACACGTTGTGGTGAATTTCTACCTGATCCCGAACAATATTACCAGGGACTACGTTCAAAAATTTCTAATAATATTAGTAAAATAATAGCAATTGGGGAATGCGGATTAGATTATGATCGCTTACATTTCTGTGAAAAAGAAACACAAAAAATATACTTTGAAAAGCAACTAAATTTTGCTGCTGAATTTAAGCTTCCTTTATTTTTACATTGTCGTAATGCACATGATGATTTTATGGAAATATTAACACGAAATCGTGATAAAGTTTGTGCTGGCGGTGTTGTACATAGTTTCGATGGTACATTAGATGAAGCTCTCAAAATTTTATCATTCGACGGTCTGTACATTGGTCTAAATGGTTGCTCGCTAAAAACTGCCGAAAATTTAGAAGTTGTTAAACAAATTCCTAATGATAAAATTATGATTGAAACCGACTGTCCATGGTGTGGTATACGACCTTCGCATGCAAGCTCAAAATATGTTAAAACTAAATTTGCAACTGTAAAGAAGAAAGAAAAATGGACTGCCGAAACATTGATAGATGGACGCTGTGAACCATGCCAAATTAGGTAAATAGTAATTATTTTGAAGTATATTCAAATATATATAAATATGTCTCTTAGTCAAGTACTGGAAGTTATTGCCGGCATCAAGGAACAACCTGTAGAAAAATTAGCAAACATATTTTATGACAATACGTTAGAACTATTTTTTAATAAAAGAGAGTACTGAAATCTTTAAATAATATTTTATCTTTTAAATATAAAATAGCAATAACTCGTTATAGCCACTAAAAATTTGAAATTAATAGAAAATGAAAAACGTAAAATATTTTCGTATCTGTAAACTATCGGTAAATGGTAGAGGCTAAAAAATAATAAAACTTTAAGACTATAACTCGCCAACAACAAAAAGATCCCAAGTGTGACGATCATAACGATGAATTAAGTTAATATACAGCATTCTGAATGTAGAACAGTTAATTTGATCTATTTATCAACAGTCGAGTAGACCATAAAATCCAAAACTTATTAGTCTTCCGTCTAAAATGTAATAAAAAATATGCTGAAAAATTTATACAGTTAAAAAACTTAATTAATGATTAGTAGAACTCTCATTTAAAATTATGTATTACAAATTATTGTGAACCGTCTACATTATCTTTTTCCGCACTTTAAGCTTCAGCGATTTCTTAGGATTACTGACAAAACATGTAGTGCTGACGAATTTCAGAAGCGGGTAAGCAAACGTTCCGGAGCAACTGACTACTTCCAACGAGGAAGTGCAGCATACCCTTTTTAACCGATACACCAAAACGCTATTTTCTTTAAAGGTAATAACCTCTATACAGTGTGATGACCCTGTACTTTTTACAAACAAAAAGAAAATAGGGAAGAAGTAAAACCGAAAAATTAGTGTTAAGTTCGGCCGACAACTGATATATGAAAAAATAAATGAATAAAAGACTTAGGTGGGCATCTTTTATTGAATAAAGAAATTAGACTCGGTAAACTTCACAATTTATCGAGAAAATCAAACTCCGAATTCATAAATTGGCACAATAGATCTTTAAGTTGCAGAACAATATCCTTTCTTAATAATAATAATTTTTTGGTTCACTGTATTCTTCTAAAAACTACACTGTCTATTGTCTTCATAGTCCCATCGTATATTTGTTTTATAAGATAATATATTTGTGTTATAAAATTACAAGGATAAAGTTCTCTACAACAGGTCTTTTATAAATCTTAATTGAAGTATTTGAACCATTCGTACGATTCTGATTACCAGGGCATGTCTAGTATTCACAGTATCTTTCTGAAATACTGTGGATAGTTTGTCTGTACTCAGTCTGTACTGAATAAGACATCATTGGAATATCCAACAGAGTGGTCGCAAGCAGGTATTGCTTAGACATCAGTCGGTTATCATCTTTCACAAGAATAAATTTGGATTCTGCAAGAAGGTGGCCAGATCAGCAGATCGCCACCCACATAATCGCTTTGACAATATTGGATTTACTCTATTGAGTCTCGCAGAGTTGTCCATGTTGGAGCTGCATAGACTGCAATAAAACGTCCTATTGCTTTGTATGTATCCACCAATGTATTTGTTGAATTGCAATCAAATATTCTGCTTGAAAATATACTGTTGAGGTTGATTGAAGTGTGTTAGATTGTGTAGTCATCTCTGTTCGATTAAGTTCGTACTTTTTGTGAACCTTTGAAATTTTTTGTCTATTTCCCCGAGATTATTGAACAGTTGTTTAAAGTGCAGTCCCAGACAAGTGATTCCTGATATTTAAAAAAAAAATTATATAAAAAGCAGGACCTCCTGGTAGTTTAGTTTCTTATTCTTAGTTAAGTTTAAAATTAATTAAAGTGTTAACTCACAAATAAATATTTAAAAACTTAGTTTTGAAATTCACATTTTATGCGTTTATTTATTTTACGAGATGCAAACTATCAGTGATATTTTTACACATACATAGAAAAAGTTAACATATGTATATGCATATATAAATATATTTATAAATATGTATGAATATATTATGTCACATTTAGAATTATAAATTATTATGACGATATATTAATTATTGTATTTCAAGTATTTTTTTAATGTTAATGATTTTATATTCATAAACATTTTGGTTTTTTATTTTTAATTATAATAGCACACATACAATTTTTATAATATTTAATGAAAATGTATTTTTATTTACGGAATTTTAATTAGAATATATTAAGGATAAAAATTATAAGCAACATTAAACTTTATTTGATTTTATTTAATTAATTTTGTTCACGATAGAATGAGTTTTCTATATAAACATATAATAGAAGAATTAATATTTATTTGTTAGCTATATGTAACATTTAAATGCAGTTAATAATTTATATTAATATAAATTAAAAAAATAATAATAATATAACATATCTAATATATTATTTACATAAAATTTATTTATTGTTTTAGTTTACCTAATATTTCAGAATTTATACACACTAATAAAATCTATAATTCATTATAGTCTTTAAGCTCTACTGCATTTAAAATATAAATTAAGTTTAAATATAACTTATATATAACTTTTGCAGTACAGCATAAAAAGCCGAACATAGTTATCCGGCGCAATGTGAAGAATTAGAATTTATTGGATTTAATAATATGTATATATTTTAAGGATTTTTTATAAAGTATGAATATTTGAATGGGCTTAATAAAATCGATTGCCTATTGAACGAACTATATTGAAATTAGATATATAAACTATAACTAAATTAATAAACTGATATGAAATAGTGTTTCCTTATAAATTATTTATTATTTTTTCTTTTTTTAATATGTCTGTATTAGCCTCTTACGATTTTGTATATATTTAAAAAAAATTCTTGAGTACAATTTAAATGATATGAAATTTTGCTGAGCCGATATTAGTTGAATTAGTACATATCTTTAACCAGTTAAAAGTTTTTTTAGTCAAAAAACAAAAATAATTTTTTATTCAAAATATATATATAAAAAACACTCAGTCCTATATAATTTCTATTAACTATTAATTTAGTTTTATTAAAAAAGTGAAAATCTACTAATATATACTCATACATAAAAAATTATATTACGAATTGTATATAATAATGTATGTTAACATTCACATTTAGAATATATAATAGAAATCTTAAATAATGTTATTATATTTTACTTAGATAGATACTTCACTTGTTAAATTGCTTGAGAATATATAATTTTGTTACTTTAAGAAAATAAATACTTTTCTAACAGTAACAATTGACTTTTTTAATTACTTTTAATTACTTTATTAATAATTTTTATATATATCTTTATATAAATAAATATTGTATATAGTAGCTATTGTTATGAGAGGTTATGGTTTAGTCAAGCGAATTTTTTATTATATATGCTTAAAAATATTTTCAATATAAAACAAAACGAAATCATTATTTCATAATTTTATTCAATAAATTTAATTCATTAATTATAATATATATAAATTAATTAATATTATTTACATAATAAACTTAAAATAATTCCAATAGAAAATATTTATATATTTACTTAAAATAAAATATAAATAAATTCGAGTTAAATAAATTCTGTAATTAGAAATAGTAAAAAACCAAAAAAAAAATTATTTTAAATAATAATTATTTTATGTATAAAGAAAAAAAATTAAATTAAAGAAAAAATTTTAAATATTTTTCTTTGTCTTCCATGTTTGTATTTGCTCAAAAAAAATAAAATAAAATAATAAAAATTATTTTTAACTTAATAATTTAATTTATAAAATCATAATAATTAACAAAAATTAATATTTTTGTTGTTTACAAATATATTTATATAAATAACCAACTAATTTTATAGTATTTATTTAGCATTTTATAAATGTATGTATTATTTATTATTTTCCCTATTTAATTTTCATTTGATTTGAATGAAATGTATTTTAGTAAATAATTATGTTTAAATTTCAAATATATTGTATTTTTTATTTAATTTCATTTTGAAGAGTTTTTGGTATAAGCTAGTTTCGAACTATACTCTTCAGTATACAGTTTCCAAAGGACTATATTCGTGTATTCGAGTTGCCAGGGATTGCCTCTATTGGCTGAATTCAATTTCTTTTTTATTGTTCTTTAATTGATTCTCCTAATAAATTTTTGGTGCACTACGATCATTAATCTTTTGATTTCGCTTAAGTGTAGCGCCACGCTTGATTTGATCCATCAAGGATTCATGACAAAGACGAGGATCCGGCTGAAAATATTTAATAAAAATATTAAATGTTCTTTTATATAATATAAATTTAATTATTAATCAAACGGAAAGTATTAGCAATAATCAAATGACATGTTAACTTATATATACAAAGAATGTAAGCAATTAGAAATATGATTAATTTTAATGGATAAATGTGACATTTTATGATACAAACAATAATATATAATATACATAAATATATATAATATTTATATATTATATTTATATAAATATAAATAAATATATTTTTTATATTATATTTATATAAATATAAATAAATATATTTTATATATTATATATATAACAGTTTATTCAAATATATTTATTAGTATTATTTAATGATTTTCAAGAAGTGCTCTTGAAAATTATTCAATACTTGAATTAACGAAGAGGTTAGAATTTTCCTCATTCTAAAGAATTTATTATGACTTAAAGAGAAATACGATAATATATAGCTTCTATTTCTTACAAAATGGTACAACGTTAAATCGAGTTATAATAAAAATCCTATCTAAACACACATTATATGGAAACAGTATTCGCAATTTATAATCTACAAAACAGTAATGATTATATCACTACGTTTGATTGTTCTTGTTGGGAGTTATAAGCAGTAATTTGGCTGTAGAGAATGAGAGAATCCATATCGAAAAACTGACAACAACTGGAACCTCTGTAGAGTCTGTAGATATATATTTGTTTTTGCAATTTATTCTGCAATCACACAAAACCTGATATGGCCCCGTAGTACTTTTTTAATTTCTAAGGTTTAAATTACTACTTTGAGTAGAATGTATAATAAATAAATTTAACTAAGGAAGTTACAGACTATATATCGAACCTAATATCCTTATCATACTTAAAAACCCGGGTTTCATTATTGTAACAGAGATTTTCATGCGCAAAACTTGTGGTATGTAAATGGCATAAGTTCGTGATTGCTGGGATAAAATCGAAGAATTTTTTAGGAAAATTAACTTGTAGATAAGTTAATTAATCTACAATCAAACAGCCTTTATTTTTTAGATAAAAAAAGATATAATAAAGATTTTAATAATCTTTTGTTCTGTAGTTTCGCAGATTTTTCTTTTTATCATTTTTTTTTCGTAACTTTTTTTAAACTATGTCTAATTAACTCTTCACATCGTCTTTCTATTCCTCCCTTTCTGACTAACTTATTCCTTGGGTCCAAATTACACCTTTCATACTTATTCCATATTCTCAACATTTTTATTTAACCCTTAGACTATCAAAGATGGTAGACTGGGCGGGTTTAATCTTTTAGGTGCTCTAGGTAATGCTGGGGCCACTCTACAACGCTTATTTTTATATTATAACACACAGTTACCATTTTTGTTTCAAGTTATTACTAAAATATAGTTTTCGTTTTGTGGTTTCTAGTTTTCTCATTATGTGCGAACATAACGATTGACAGTAAAAAATAGAGGTAAATAGGTGAAATAGGACAAACTTTGTGGTAAAATTTTACATAAGCTAAAGGTCTTGAATTCAATTAGCGGGTAGACGAAGCGATTTAGTAGTGTTTTATTATATTAAAACAGCCAGAATTCATTCAAGAAAAACAATAGATCTATAGTGATCGATATTTATATGTACATTAATTTCGTTTAAGAATAAAAAAAATTAAAACTATACCATATCCGATGCGATGTTAAGTGTAGAGTAAACCAATTTAAATTAAAATTAATTATGCTCTTATTTAAGCAATTTCACTATTTTAGTAAGAATAAATTGATGAATTTATTATTAAAAATAACATTTTAGAAAGCTTTTTAAGTCTTATAAGTATATTATTATCGGTTAAAATTCATATTATTTTGTTTTTAATAATCAAAACTTTAATATAAATATAATATGATTGAAAAGCAGATAGAAAAGCCAAAAGCATTTGTAAACAACAAGAGCTGTACCTTAACATAGTTCATCTGAGGAAACTGGACGATAATGTGCACTAGGGCGAGAAAGTTTTTGTGGATTTTGATATAGCTACATACACATAAACCAAAACAAAAAAAAAAAATATTTTAATAAATTGAAAGAAATTATAAAAAAAAACAATTTCTAAAAATAAAATTTAATTTTTCTTATGAAAATAAAAATTCTACTTAAAAAGAAAATACATGTTTTTTTTTTCAATTATAAATTTTAAAACTATTTAAAAGGCTTAGAACTACAGAAGGAAGAAAGGACTACAGCAACTCCAAGCACAAGACAAATCGAATCTCACTTTCATATACTCACCAAAGCTTTACTATTTATTAAATTTCGTACAGCAAATGCACGTCCCGACATGCCTTGCTTGGCCAATTTCGCATTGAGATTCTCAAGGAATTCAGCTTTAGTTTTTGACCTTATGCTTCCAGCTTTTTCAATATTTGTGCACGTATAATCTGATATATAAAGTTGTATAATTGTTGTTGTTTTTTGATGTTGAATAGGCGTGGCAAATGGCATAATGATTTTTTTGTGTGTTGAAATTTTTGATGTGTGACGAATAAAAAGCAGTTGTGATGATAATGCGAGAAAAATAAAAACAAAATATAAATAAAATAATTACTATTTATATGATATTTTATATATTATGAATGATTATTTATAAATGTAAAAAACAATTTAAAAAATCACAAAAAATAACAAAATATATATATATTATGATTAAAGGAAACAAAACTTCTTTCTGGGAAACTGAAATTAACATAACATTTTTATATTAATATATAATTTGTTTATTAATCATATATCAATTATTATTATTAATTTTAAAAAAAGCTTGTTAAATAAGTAATTATTAGCATATAAAATTTTTTTTATATACATAATTTTAAGCAATAGTAATGTATTGTTTTAAGGTAACTTTCTTAATTATTATATGTTTGTTGTTTAACGATTCTTGTGAACTTCAAAAAAAAGTCTGATTGCACTAAGTTGTTTAATAAGTTCGTGGAGTGTCGTCTTACGTCAGTTATAAAATTAATTTTAATTTCATATATTATCTTTCAAAAGACCTGACTAAAATATAATTTCAGTCCAACGAAACTAAAACTTCGCTACCATTTTAATTTAATATATCATCTTTCAAAAGACCTGACTAAAATACAATTTCAATTCAACGATTTATTACTTATTTAAAAGCAATTTGGAATTGACGTTTTTCTGTAATGTAAACAATGGAAGAATTTAAACAGAGGAGGATAAAATATTTTGTAAAAAAAAAATTTAAAGACTATAAAAACTTTTATTGAAATTGTTAGATTAATCAGATCCTTTAGGTTAGGTTATACCTGCAATACTAAAGGATTCACTTAGGCCTATTGGACTTTTGCGTTACCGTATAACTAAAAATTCAAGAGTTAGAACTACTTAGAACCTTTGGCAAAGCTTATAATGCTATTCAGAGGAATGTCGGTCTTGTTGTTCGCCAATCTGGTCCTTTAAAAGCAAGCATTTATGAGGAAGATAATTTATTCTATATAAAGTCAAAAAATTATTTACCCACTGATGATGGGTATTTAGTAATACTCGAAACAGCTGTATGGTCAGCTAAAAATTCAATTAATTAAAATAATATAAAATGAATTTTTGTTGTTGTATTTCCCCACTGTTCAAAAAAACTTCTTTATAAAATAATAAACAAAATTTTTAAATTTACTGAATAATTTCTTTAAATACGTTTAATGTAAACTTGAAATGCAACCTTGCGTGTTTTACTGTAATAAATATATTATGATGATTCTACCCTTACATTGCGTTTATCACAATTCATATCATAATAAAGATTTCAGTTCGAAACTACTATTAAATAACCAACATATAATAGTTATAAAATTGTTAAAAAAGAAAATATTTTATAAGTAAAAGTATAAAAAAATTAATAAAAAAGAAAATAATGCTTTTTATAATCCTATGTGCATCTTGTGAAAATGAGCCCCTCTTTCGTTGGGTGGTATATGACTGAAGTTTTAGATTTATATATAATAAACAATGACGATATACAACCATTGTATGATATAAATAGAAATTTAAAACGAAAAGTAAATCAAATCAAATCAAATCAAACCAAATCAAATCTTAACATAATCTTCAACATAAGCAACATGCATTGGCAAAAAATTCTTCGTTAAGCAGCAACATTTCACAAATGTAGTTTCGATCAAAAAACAAAATTCAAAACTGAACGAAAACTCAAGAAAAATCCAAAAATGTAACTCGTTCACTTATAGAAAGAAAACGTCCGCTCACTTGAATTATGTACAGAGTTTGAGGTTGCCGAATTATTATAGTAACTATTACCGCCACCACTGCTGCTGCTATGACCGCCGCCAGTTGTTTCTCTGTAATATTGGTGTGCTGCACTACTACGGCCGCTAGTACCATAAATGCTTGCCAAATTCGAAGGTGATGAGCAAGTGGGCGATGCTGGTGTTGAGTGTATCGACGAAGGCGAGTGGCAGTGCACAGCAGTTGTTTGTATAAAAGGATTTGTAGCAACAAAGATTTTTTGTTGTACACTGGAATGACGCGATGGTACCGGTGGCTGCTTATGATGTGGTAATGTTGATGCTGTAACGCTTTTCTTATTTTGCTGATGTTGTGGGTGATGATGTGGTAATGGCATTGGTGGACGTTGACTAACATGTTGATTGAGTGCAACTCCCGCTGCGGTTCCGGTAATGGCGGTTGGGTGATGATATTGTTGCTGTTGATAATGTTGTTGTTGCTGCTGATGATGATGTTGTTGATGTTGCTGATGCTGATGCTGCAAACGTTGTTGTTGTGTAAAATTTTTTGGCATAGTGGAAGTTGCAGATGTTGCAGCAGCATAAGCAGCCAAATTCTGCCCACCACTACCATTATTATTACTAATGGAGCGTGAGCTATTTTTTGGCAATGTAGCTGAAGCATTATTGCCAGTAGCAGCATATGTATTTGGAGCAGATATGGGCGGCGGTGGCGGATTTTCAAGCGGTGGTGGACACGTATAATGAGTGGTGGACTGTGAATGTGATGTCACTTGCTGTGCACCGGCAGCATTTTGTTGGCGTGATGATGCCGCTTGTTGCTGATGGGCAGCTGCTAAATTTTTATTGCCATAAAATTGAGAAGAATTTGAATGTGAAGAATAGACATTTTCTTTCGTTTGCGCTGCATTTTGCTGCAAATGTTGCTGATTTTGTTGATATTGTGTATGAGAAGATGAGGATGATACTGATTGTGATGCTAATGAGAATGAAGTGACTTTTGATAAGAGAGACGATGTAGATGAAGATAGCGGAAAATGTGGTGAAGCATTGAAATTAGTTGAAGTGAGAGTAGAGGAAGATGATGATGTTGAGAGTGAAGTGCTAAAACTACCATAAATCTTATTATTTTGTTTTTCTGTATTAAATTTACCGTCGTAGATTTGCTGCTGTTGCTGTTGCTGTTGCGGCGCTTGTGGATGTTGGTTATAGTTACGCATATAAATGGTATCATTCTGTTGTTGGTGTTGTGAATGATTATAATGATGATTGGGTGAATTTGGTGTCGAGCCATAAATACCACCTTCAGCAGCGTTCAATTGCTGTTGCTTATTATTTAGACGCGCATTTAGTTGCGCTATTAGATTAGGATTCGTTTTTGGCTGTGCTGGTTGTGTTTGATGTGAATGCTGTGCTTGCGGTTGATGAATATGATGTCCATTTGAACCTGGACTTGCTGAACGAAAACTAGACATATTGTTGACAATTTTCGGTTGTGCATAAATGCCTGGCGATGATGTGCGGAAAGACTAATGAAAATAAATTAAAATAAATAATTAACATTTCTTTAACATTATTTAATGATATTTTTAATATTAATTTTGATCTATGTGAGTTTTAAATCTATGTCTCTAATAGTTCAAAGGGGTTTGTGAGTAAAAACGATGTGTTGTTATTAACATGAAGCAGATAAGCACATGAGATATATGTGCCTCTTACGATACGAGTATAATAACCATATAAAACCATTATAAAAGGATAGTAACTTTTTTTAATAAGGTTTTAGTACTTTATGAGTAATTATTAAATATTTTATATTAGTTAAGTACTACTTTTTTATTATAATAATAATTATTTTATATCAACATTCAATTTCAATTGTTTTTAGTATTTATTATTGGTGCTTTAACTAATGTAGTAAGTGCTTTATTTATACCAGGAATTCGTATATTTGTACATAATTGGTTTAAATAACGTATATTTTGTTATGGTCACTTTTAACGATAGTTTATATAAAATGTATTTAAATTTATTGCAGAACAACAAATACAAATTAGCAATGCAAAACACAAATAGAGAAATTAAAATAATGACTACAGTTCACAACGGAGCACTGTACTGCGAACGGAATAGATCCGTTCTACTTCAACCGACTTCAACTGACCAAAAGAAAGGCTATCTCTTCGTCTAATAAAACCCAAAATGATTTTTCTTGAGAAATATGTAATATTTTATGGGCACAAAAATTCTTCCAAAAGTATCCTTCTACCGGAATGTGATCACATTTGCGTGGCAATGAGATTAGCGAAGACCATAATTGAAACTCTGGAGATAAGTTTTCGAAATCCAAAAACAGGTTGTAGATATAGAATGGAATGAGTATTGCATGAGATTAAAAACTTATAACAAATTTTTGGTATAGAATTAAAAGAACTTTGCTTCGAATTTAAACCAACGATCCCGTTATCGATTTAGGATTAAAATTTATAAACAGAAATAGGTTCATGAAGTTGTACATAGATATAGGATTAAAAGAACTCCTAAACCAAATTAAACATAAAACCAAGTTGTCGATATAGGATTAAAATTTTGAAAAAAGTAAAATAAATATATAATAATTTCAAAGAAACTATCAGCTATAAAAAATAAACTCCTTGACTTGATTTTAATAACCTTATAGTTTGAAGATTATTCCAAAGGAATTTATATAACATTAATAGTGACCAAACTAAGTATTATTTAGACTATATTAATTTTACATAAAGTTAATAATTATTTTGTATATGTTAATGTTTTAGTGTTCATTGCAACAAACGAAATACATAATATGAAACTAACTACAATATGTGTTATTTATTTTTACGAAACTCAAGTTAATTCTGTTTAATAATCGATTTTCTATTATAAGCAGCCTGTTAGTATGCGGCAAACATACACTCAGTCATATGGACTGGATCGACGGGACTTACAGAATTACTTCCGTAAATTGCATCGCTATTTTCTATATCTCTTTGTTGCGGCAGTTGTTGTTGATGATAAAATTGTTGCTTGTCTCGGAGCTGTTGTTGCTGTTGTTGTTGTTGTTGATGATGATAATGCATGTACTGATCTGGCTGATTATGGCTTGAGCGTGTTTGATTAGGATTAGGCGGAGGCAATGGTGGTGTTTGTGTCGTTATATCATCATTAGGAATAGGCATGTGCAATAATTTTGGATTAGGTATATAGGCAGTATTATAAAGCTGCGACTGTTGCTGATAAGCGTTGGAAAAGGAGGAGTTTATTTCCACATAAGGATTGTAATAAGCTTCATAATCAGTATCGCTACGACTAAACATAACGGAAGCGGTAATAGATGAATTTGTAGTAGAGTAGAGGTTATGTTGCGATGGGTGCTGTATTTGGCAATTCAGTTCGGAAATACAAGTTTAGTTTGTTAATGGATTTGTGTCAGTGTAAGTTGCAAAAGCAAAATTTTAAAAATTTAATTAAAAAGAAATTTAACAATTTAAAAAATAAATAAAATAGTAAAATATTTATAGAGAATTTAAAATAGAAGTAAAAATAATGAAAATTTTATTTTCAGGCTTCCAGTATTGCTTAGATGAATTTTAGTAGTAGGATGTTTTGACTTCTACGCTCACCTGTAGTCCACCTGTTGGCGTTGCTATTTGTTGGGTTTGTTGTAGACGACGTAAAGAGTTCGGTGATGCTGGCTGATGTTGTATGGCAGATAAAGCCTTTACAGTCTCAGCTACTTTTAATGCAGAGTTTGGCATTAGTTTTGGTGGTGTAGTTGGTGTGGATTGTGTTTGTCTTGAATCAAGTAAAAATGCTGGCGGTGGAGGTAAACTTTCGGTAGAATTATTCATAAAAGTTTGCTGTTGATAAATTAAATTCGTGCTAGTTGAGTGTATTTGAGGATGTTCAGTTTGCAACTAGTGTAATAAATTGACGCGGAAAAAATTAAATTAAAAATCATAGTGAAAATAAAATAAAATTAAAACAAATAATAACATAAAGTGTAAGGTAAATAGTGTAATTTTTTAGTGAATTTTTAATAGTTTTATTTTTTTTTTACAAAATCCGAGATATAACCACCAATTATTGGGAGTATTAGGGACACCAATTAAGTTACATGAATCCATTTTTGTGAGTTACAAAAATGTTTGATTTTTTAAATAAATTTTTTTATACATTATTTTTATTATATTGTTATTGTTATATATTATTGTTATTTCTACTTACTGCAGTTGGAGTATTGGGACTTGGTGTTACTGATGAACTTCGTCTAACTGGTGGCGGTGGCTTTGCTGTATTTACCGAAGAACGTCGTGCAATTCTCGTTACTCCTCCTATGTTATTAATAAGAACAAAAATTTGTTAGTAAAAATCATTGAGAGATTTATAGATTAGATGTATATGCCACCAATTAAAATTTTGTTTTTGCTTTTAATCAGTATTAAGGTGAATGTTAATGCACAAATACAAGACACCGTAATACCATAATACAATATATCAATCATGTCAGACCAAATTTGTTAAATACCAAGTATTTTTACCAATTTCATAATTAATTATTAAATAAAAATTTTAATAGCTCTTTATATGAATATGAAAAAAAAGGGTAAGTGTAAGTTTCGTTTCAAGAGACGAATCGCGGAATGCTTGCCTTTATGCAAAGGAAGTGAGAATTATAATACTAGCTAATTTCAAGAACGGCCGGCTTTAAATTAAACAGCTAGTTGTCAGAATAGAATATCTTTTACAAAAAGGATAACAACAGTAGTATTTTCCCATAAATGAGGAAGTAACGAACTTACTTATGCTATTACTTTTAATGGTAAGTATTGAACTTAACGCCGATATTGGTGTAGATATAATTACAACAAGAAGTAAATATGAGCAATCACAAAAACGATAAAAACTCGAAATTGATAACCCAATTATTTACATAAAATTGTTAATTTAAATAAATGTTTTTGTGTCTCATTAAAGATTGCAATAGACTAGGTTTTCGATCTATAAATCGGTATAATGTTATAATAAACTGGTTTTAGTCTTATGAATAAAAGGTGAACATATACAAACGGTAGCAAATCTGTAATGTACGCAAAGAATATGATGCCATATATTTGATAGACTTTCAAGTAATTCATACATTATGAACCAACACCAGCTGATCTTACCGATCGATTCATATCTTTATTGCAAACAGTTAATATGCTTGAAGTTAAAATAAAAATATAAGACGAATTAATCAATAAGTGAAAGTATATCTGCGTTGATTGGACAAAAATTGAAAGATCTACGCTGAAAAGTTTTGTGCATTCAATGGATTGTACTGAAAATGCACCCTGCAACATATGTCTTGTTGGAGATAATACAAATGACATATAACTCAATTCAATGACTTTACAAACGATATATATCTTAACTTAATGATAATATAAACGATATTTATTCCAACTCATTTACAACACATTTGAACACAAATATCTAAATATAATAATAGACCCAATTTTTGATTCCAAGATACGTATTATATCCAATATTAATTCTCATATTCATTTAAAGATGCTATAAATATTTTTAGTTATTTACAAGCCACATAAATTGAGATGCATATTTTTCTGTTATTAGAATTAATAAATATATTTTTGGATATGTAAATGTTATATACATTTATATAAAATATATAGTTTGGTATTAGTGTATAGGTTTATGTATTGTTTAATGACACTATTAAGTTTGATAACTATTAGAATGAGAATGCTTATATGAAATATGGATGAAAGAAATATATATAATAATATAAATAATAATAAATTAAAAATAATATATAGTACATAAAAGAATCTATGAAGTTTCGAGGATTTAAAATGTTGATTATTAGGATATATATATAAACACAAAACAAGTAATAATTAAATTAGTTTATAATTGGATATGCATTAGAACAGGACTTATAACAAACGTACAACCCACACAAATGAAAGCTGTTAATTTAGCTATGATTAACGCGTTAAGCTGCAGAAGAGATGATTAAAGAGAAATTAATAGCTTCTTTCACCAGTTATTTTTGCTGTGTGCAAAGAATCCAATAGAAAATTAGAAATGATTAGAAAAAAAGGTAAGAAGAAGAGAACTTTTTTATTAAAGTAAAAATAGAAAAGTAAATAGAAAAGAAATATATTAAAAAATATATAATAACAAAGAAATAAAAATAAAACAAACCCGATAAGGAAGCTGGTCTTGGCGTTATGCTCGGTTTTGTTGATAACACCGGTGCATTAGCCGTGACCATAGCAGCAGCACTGTTGGCACACATATGGGATGCGACTAGGGAAGTACTCGTATCAGGCATGGAGGATGAAGATGATACAGATATTGACATTGATACTGATACTGAAGATGGTAATGGCGATGGCAATGATTTATTAAATTTTGTATGATTTTGGTTATGAGAATTAAGATGTTGATGTTGTTGTAGTTGTAGTTGTAATTGTTTAGATTGAGATGCTTGGATTTTTTTCAATTGTTCGTGTAGTTGCATTTGATGGGAATGAGCATTATGATTTTGTAGTGAGTTCAGTTCATGATTTACTAAGTTACTATTTAAATGCGTTTGTGAGGAAGAGGTAGAAGATGTTGTAATACTGGCATTTACTACTGATGCGGATGCAGATGCAGATGTAGGCGGTGTATTTAATGAACGTTTATTATGACTTATTATTGTATTACAATTATCGCTATTTTGTGTAGTATTGCTGGGACATGATGACTGTGGTGATGTTTGTTGTTGGTCATTTGTTTGACGCTGTTCTTGTTGTTTTTCTAATAATATCAACTTCTGTTTTTGTTTACGTATTTTTGCATCTAAGTCGGCTTTAAAATCAAGCTTTGCAGATTGTTGTTTTGGCGGCAATTGTGGTGGTAGATTTTGCGTTTGCTGCATATTATTCTGTGTTGACAATATTTTATTATTATTATTAACTTCCACATTCGTTGCACTGCCATTAAATATGCTTAAACTTGGTTTCGGTGGGAGCTTACGTTGTATTATGGTATCGGTAGGTGTTGATATTGTTTCTGTGATCGTATCACAATTTATCGATGATTCGCTAGTTTTTTGTTTTAGATTATTTTTTACATCATTCATACCTTTTTCCATTTGTTGACGATGAACGTTTTTACTATTTCCACCATTATTAATACCGAGTAGCTGCAATTGCTGCTCACTGGAAGCGCGAAATGAAGAGAGGCGTTGTTTTGCGGGCGCAACAGTTGCTGTATGGGGACTTGTGGGCGTTGTTGGAGATTCTGTTAACCCACTTAAATTTGCAGGCAGCTGCTGTAACTCACGAACTTCATGTAATTGCAATTGTTGTGGATCTTTTGTACGCAATACAACTATTTCCGAGTTTTGCTTCACATAATCAATATCGGGTGTTATTGGAATTTGATGATCGTATATCACAACCACTGCACTACCATTGTCACTGGCATTGTCTACATAGGCGTGTCGCTGCATTGATAATGTTTCAGATGTATGTGATATGCTATCGCCAGCAAATAATATATGACTATCACTGTCTGCAGTCGCTGAGCTTAAACCAGCAACTGCCGTCGAAGAAGCAAAATGCGCAAACGTTGGATTCTCATAGCCCCCCGTCAACGAACTTGTTTCGCTCACATAGCAACGGCTCAGCTCCGAATCGCTATTGTAATTGCAACTTTGTTTATTATTATCATTATCATTATTATTGTAATTGAGACTTGTAAGAGAACGTGTATCTGCTACCATTTCATCGGATGTTGTATCAGATATATCAGTACCGCAACCACTTGAATTCGTTTGATTGCTTGGACAATATTTTTGTTGTTGCTGCTGGTGTTGTTGCTGTTGCTGACAAATAATAGTTGTTGTCGTTGTAGGTGTTATTGTCCTATCAGAAATTATTAACTTATCAGAGAACTCAGTGACGTTTCCACTATTGTTAAATGGGTCAATGTTGCTGCTGCTGGTATTGCTGCTACAATCATTGCTGCGTTGCTTACTCGCATCTATTTCACGTTGGAATGAGTCTAATTCGCCAATTAAATTATTTAATTCTTGTATTGAATCTTCGAAACTTTTATCTACATTTTTTTTTGTTGGTATGTGTTTTTTTTTTTAAATATTTTAATGTTTTTTTTTAATACGTGTTTGTTTTATGTTTTGGTGTATATGTGAAATTAAATTTATGGAATATTTTATATTTACAAATATTTTAATTTTGCAAATAAAATAAAATTTTTTTGTTGTAGCAAAATAAATTTTTTACATTATTTTTTTTATATATATATAAATAAATACATTTTTAAAAAAAATATTTTTTTAATTGTAATCGGTGTTGGTGGAAAAGTTGTAGTTTGGTATTTGTGTAGTTGTTTTTTGGGAATCACAAAATAACAAACGTGAAATAGAAGTGTATAAAATGGGAAGAAACAAAAAACATAAAAAAACGTTATTATAATCACAACAAATAAAAAAATCAACAAAATATTAGTTCAAATATGGGAAATTTTATAATTTGTTAAAAAAATAATAAGTAAAAATTTCAACTCATGAAAGGTAAAATTGCCAAATGTACATAATATGAAAACAATTTAAAATCAATTTGGAATAGAAAATTAAATAAATGGGTTGAAATTTGTACAATGTTCTTATATTGACAAAAGAAAAAGTCTTTTTATATAAAGCTGGGTACATTGTGATCAACGAGCTGAGTGGTTTCTATAAGTCCCAATTAAAAAAAAAACTAAAAAATGAAAAAAAATAAATAAAAATTAAAAATATAAATTAAAATAAAAAAAAAAACTATAAATATGAAATAAAATAAAAAAAAACTAAAAATAATAAATAAAAATATATAATAAAATAAAAATATAAAATAAAAAATAAAACTAAAAATATTAAATAAAAATATATAATAAAATAAAAATATAAAATAAAAACATAAAATACGAAAATATAAATAAATATATTATAAAATAATTAAAAATATAAAATAATATATAAATAAATAAATATAAAAAAAAATTAGAATAAAAATGAAATGAAAATATACCAAAAAAAAAAATTAATAAAAAAATGAAATAAAATATAAAAAAATGAATAAAATAAAATATAAAAATAAAATAAAAATAAAAAATATATAAAAAAAAAAAATAAAATAAAAATATAAAACAATAAATATAAAAATATACACATAAAAAAATGTATATATATATATATAAATATAAAAAAAATTTATATACATATAAATATAAATAAAAATATGTATATATAAATAAAAATATATGTATTTATATAAATATAAAAAAATATACATTAAAATATCAAAGAATATATACATAAATATAAAAATAAACAATAATTAAAAACATTTTAAGGATAATTTAAAAAAAAAATATTAAAATATGTATATAAAAAATATTAATAAATTTGAAAAAATATTTTTTTACAAATTAATAATTGTTGTCCACATTTGAAAAATAGAATAGATACCACCAGCTCATGTTCACATTAAAATTATATTGATATAAATATAAATAAATTGATAAAAAAATCGATCTAACCTAACTTTATAAATTGTTTGTGTGCTAGCTAATGTGCATGACTTGAACTATTTGTTTTAAACAAATAATAAATTTAAATTTATTTTCTTATAAAATGTATACTTTATGCCCACATATTAATACAAAAAGACTTTTTCTTTTATAATACATTTATCATCCAACATAACTTTATATTACCTATACAAAAACTACAGACGATCTTAGAGGATATCATTAAAAAAATAAATAAATAATTTTGAAGAAAAGTTAAATAAATAAAAATAGCAATTATTATAACTAACATATTATACAATTATAAAATAATATATATATTTAAAATATTTTAATAATCTTAGGCCATACCTATATATTATTCTACTTAAATTATTTACATTTTCTGTATTCAAATACTACCTACCTACATCCTGTTGTTCATATATCGACTGATGACTATTTTGGTTTTGTGTATTTGATGTGGATCGTGTGTCTTCTGCGCGACGTGTACCATAAATATTTGATTCGACCGGTGCTCGTGCGACTGTTGGAGTTGGTGTACTATTGGCAACTGCTGCAGCTTGTTTTTCAAACATTGATGCTTTCTGTAAAACGGACGCACGCGATCTTTCGTCGCTCTCCACAATAGTCGATGAATCTGTATCGATAACAGTTTTGGAATTTTCAGTCATATTCGTGCTAGCACTTGGTGTAATTGTATTGGATGTGTCATTTGTTGGTGTATTGGAATTATGTGTACTGTTACCACCATCGATTTCGGTTATTTTCAAAGCGTCACTACTACTAACAGAATGTGTACCACTCGGTGGAGGTGTAGGAGAGTTTACGTTGTATGCAAAACCACTTGTCATGCCGCTTGTTATACTGGCTCCACTTGGTGTACCAGCTGCGGTTGACGATGGTGAATTTGTTAAAAGTGGTGAGTAATGGTTTTGGGGTGTAGAACTACCACTGGACGGTGTTGGAGTTTGACCCATTAATGATGTGGCAACAGTAGACTCTATAGAGGGATGTGAGTGTAATGATGGTGTGTTTGAGGAATTTGTAGAAGAAATGGAATGAGAACGTGTTGTGCTTGAATTCTGTATTGTGTCATGGTTTTGTGATATATGTTGTTGTTGCTGTTGTTGTTGTGCTTGTTGGGTATTAGATGCAACTGATTCATTGGAGTGTTGTGATGATATTGAATCAATGGAAGGCTGTTGTTGCAGGAGCGATTGCTGTTGTTTTTGTTGGTTAGTATACTTTAAAGCCGCCATATTGGCCAATTCTGACATATTAACATAAGTGGGCGGGGATTGCAGCTGCTGTTGTTGTTGCAACTGTTGTTGTTGCTGTTGCTGTTGTTGATACTGTTGTTGCTGTGCATGATGCGCAGAGAGCTCTTTTCATTGTTTATTGGAATTAACACACAGAAAGCATGCGCAAAATATAAAACGGGAAAGTGGATAAAAAATTAAAATTATAAAAGGAAAATTAGTATTTCTTTAAGCCAGAGTGAGATTGAGGCAAAGCACATAAGTCAAACTTTTTTTATTCTATTTACATTTACATAGAATAAGAGCATACTTACCTTTCGTTATATGAGCTGGAATTGGTGATGGACATTGACGTTGTATTAAATTTCCATTGCGATTGTTATTTGCGGAAAGGGGTCTTTCAAGAGAAGAACAACGCTGAAAATGAGATTCAAATTAATCAAGAGAAAAATAAAATTGTCACGGTGAAAGATAAAAATAGCATTCAAATGGAAATTTTTCTAATTCGAATATTGACATGAGGAATTCTTCAATGTCTTTGAATAATTCATCAGTGAGTTTAGTCGAATATATATACAAAAATACTTTTATGATAATGAGGCATACTAATTATATACACTACATTAATATTGATGCTTATATTTAAAGGGAATTAAACGATTCAATGATAAAATATTTATCATTCACAATGAATATGTATAAAGCAAGCACATACATTTCTGTTTCACATATAGGAATATTCTATCGGTGTTGTGATCATGTGGAGATTTTAAAACTAATATAATTTTGATTATCTACAGCCAGAACTTACCACACGTGCAGGTTTCTGGACATGTTTAATTGTAAATAAATTTTTAATAATTTAATTTCCATAAAATTTTGTGTTAAAATAATTTTAATTTTATCCAAAAATAATTTTTTTTCCCCGAATTTTCATACTTACCACTGGTAGTGGTGGGCGACTTAAAGCACCAGCTGGTGACTTTTGTGTAGATGGTGTATTTGGACCAGAGCTGTTACCACCATTCGGACCACCTTCTAAAATAGTTTCAGGATTTTGAAAAGTATACACGGTTAGTGGTGGTCTTTGATGTCCCTTTTCATAAGCCGACGAAATTGTATGTGGACGATCTGCAGTAGGCGGTATTGTAGCGTCATCTTGAGAATGTGGAGGCCATGTAGACACGGCGTGTGATTGGTTAGCGGCAGTAGAAGCCTAAGATTGATTTCAACAAACAATGAAGTCAATAACTACAATCTAAAGGGTATAAGCTTTACGTATACAGTCTTTGTTGCAAATAAATAATAATAATAGTAATAATAATAAATATAGACATAACAAACTTTAAGAAAAATAAATAAATCAAAATTATAAACCTGTGTAGTTAAGGCTGGCGATGAACAAAAGCCACTATCACTGGATTCACCAGGTTTTAAGCGTATTGCAGGCGATATTAACTAAAATTAAGAAAAACAGGTAAGCAAAAATAAAATAACAAAATAAAAATTTAAACAAATCCAAAAGATTAATCAAAAAATTATTAAAATAAAAATTTAACTGTAATGTAGTAAAGTTTCATAATAAAAATTATAAAATAATTTTTAATAAATATATAAGCACTATATTACAATTAATATATATTAGCTAGACCTTAAGATTCCAAGTACGTTTACAATATATCTACAATATTATTACATATTTATAATTTCATATAATTATAACTAACAATTACTTCAAATAAATGTTAAAATTTGTAGTAACTTTGTTAAATTTAAAATATTAGTTTATTTACTTGTGATAAAGATCGTGGGTAGTGATGATGACCAGGTGAATTACTTGAGCCACTGCTATTCATGGAACTTATTGAACAAACGGAACTTTTACGTGAACCTAATGAATTTGAACAATTTCCTTGTGAACCAGAACCACCACCAGGAGATTCAGGATAAAGTGTTAAAGTTGCTTTCGCATCATGAATTAATTCCTCTGAAGCTTGTGGCAACACATTTGGTTCTTTAGTAACCATAGCGATTGATTGCATTGCTTCCTAAAATTATATAAAATAAACAATAAAATTTGTAATAATAAATGCAACAAATTTTTTTTTACTTGTAAATGTCCCAACTCAGACATCACTTCGCATTCTTCCTTTACTACAGGTTGCAACATATTCACAAATGTGCAATACCTTAAACGTTCCTCAATCATAGCAGAACGTAATGACTTCTTCTCAACTTCTTCGAGTTCGGCACGTCTCAGTGTCACATCTTGCATATGCGAATCCATTAATGACTGTATTGAATCGGTTTGACCTTTGCGTGCTTTTTTCTGTAAGCGAAGCGTATCGCTGGAACGTTTTTTTAATTCCGTGCGACAACGTTTATATTCTTTGGCATGTTCTTTGTCGATGGTGGCAACTGAACGTTTCCAGTCTTCTAATTTATCCTAAAATAAAAAACAAAAAAATATACATATATTTAACTAATTTATGTTGATTACAGTGTATAAATTTGCTTACTTGTAATGGTTGTACAAGGCAATCCATTATTGCCGTAGTAAAAGTTTTAAGACGTGTTTCAACAGCTCTATGTCGTAAACAGACCCTTGTTAAGGCTGTACCAATTTCTTTAGAAGCGCCTATAATAAATAAAAATAAATATTTTTAAATGTAAATGTTTTAATTAATAATTAATATATAACATATAATGAGTTGAGTAAAAGAAACATCAAAATATTTTAAAAAATGGATATTTAAAATATTTTTGATAAAAATGATTCATTACAGGTTAACTGAAAAATGGACAATAATGATAATGATATTTTCATCAAAAAAAACCGTAATTTGGCACTTCATTTATGTTACGCTCTCAGTTTATACTTAAATTGCATTTTACTTGAGTGTTACTACGAGTAGCTCATGAAACAGACCTAATATGTTACCTATCGCTTCTACCACTGTCCGGCATTAGTTCGAAAACATCTATTTGCTGTAGGTTTTTACTTGCTTAAATTTCGAATTCTTCAATCTATACCCTTTAACCTCATAACCAACGAGATAAAGCTGTGATTTTCCAGTTTAGAACATGGCTATCACTACTTAAAATATCTATGGTCAAAATTCGATAAGAGAATCTTGTCTAATATATATATATATCTATTAACCTATCGTAGTCTTCAATCAGTAGAAAGCACACTAAGTTATGGAATTTAGGATGGAAATTGAGAGTTCGTAAATAGAATAGTAATATTTTGTCATTTCTTAAATTAAATATTCGTTAGGTTCGATAATCTTTATATTGTACGATTACTATACTATATTTAAATTTAAAAAGATATAAAACAAGAGTTCAACAAAACTCATTCTTCCTTGGATTTTTCAAATGCAATATTGCATGTTTCATGCTTTATGAAATTACATTATTGTTCAACAATCGGTCTGCTGATTTCGTTAAACTGTAAAGTGCGTTACTTCTTCGATTATAGTCTACTCTCACAAGGTAGTAGGTAGTAAAATATTTAACAAAAATTATTATTACTTTTAATATTCAAAAATTGATCTCAAAATTTACAAATATTCTTTTAATTAATGATGATTTCTATGAAAAACAGAAAATAAATTATAAACAAACAGTTAATCGTTTATGAGTATCTGATAGCGTGATATCTTCATAATTTTCATGTTGATTTCGGCTTTTTAATCCAAACGCATTGTAAGAATTTTTATTTATTGCATTTATGCAACTCAATGTGCATTTAGATTGTTTATTGGTAAACATGATACACATATGGTATATGTGGTAGAAAAATAGATAACATAAATATTAATGAAGAGTATTAAGAAATAAACATTTGAGGAATTGGCTTATTATTTATGAGAGATACTTTTTATGTTCGTATTAAGAAATATAGCAAATATTTAATGATCTTTAAAACAAATTGCATATGATTATCTTATACATGTTTAAACTAAATATACAAATGAATATAAAGAATGTCTATTAAGATTTAAACACTTTTTTAAAAACGTGTTCTAACCGTCACAAGCACAAGCAATAAATATTATTTAAATTAAATAATTGGGATAACTATATCATATGAGAAAAAGTTAACTGGATTAATTCCCTTATGTAGTCTTATGCCGTAAAAAATTCCACATATCCAAGTATTTCAAGAAACTTACTTTAAGGTCCTAATATATAACACATTTATAATTAGATATAAACTGTTACTTCCGAAAAAGACATTCATAACTAATAGAAATATTATGGCCTACCTAATATTATTATATTAAAGCAGTCAATCGAAAACAAATCAATTATAGAAAATACAGAAGAAACCAATTTAAATAAGTTGGAGCCTGAAGTAAGCAAAATGTTTTAATAATAAGTATTTATTGGGAGGCTATCTGTTGACAATTGCTATAGAAGTGTCTGTCTGTGAGTTATATTTTTCACTAATGTAGTGTGAGAATTTCATGACCTTCGGACGACCTATTCAAATTGATTGATAAATCTAATCGATACATATCTGGGTAAAAATTTTATTTTAACCTTAATCAAACTCCGTATTTACCAGATTTAGCACTATTTGACTTATTTTTTCGGAACAATGCTTTTACTGAAGTATTGTCGCTTTAGATGCTATAACGTCACTTTTAATACATTTGAACTTCATCTAATTTTCGAAGTACAAGGTAATCGGATAGCGTTACTATAAACACCTATTTTAAAAAACTTTTTTTAACTTTAGATATTATGCAGCTTGTACAATTGCAGCCTTTTAAACAGGAGATACAGATTATCATATAAATAAACAAGTCAGCATTACATAGTTTATCTAACAACAAAAAATTGCGTTTATTACTCGACTGTCTCGCAGATAAAGTTTAAGGATTTTAGTGTGAGAAGTTAATTAGGTTTTTTTAGATAATATTAATTAGTTTTTATCAAAATTGACACTATACCTTGATTTTTATAAAATTATCAGATAACTGCATATAGTAACTAATGCCATACTTAACGTAAGTAGCTATTTTGCAGTTACTTATAACACTTCAATAACTTTTATGGTGTAAGCAACCCTTGAATTTGTATAGTTAAAGTTCTGGTCAAAGTAATTCTTAAGGTTAAATTTTGTTTTATTGGTCAAAAAACGGTAGATAAATGAAACCAAAAATATAATAAACTTTCTTTAACTTGAACTTTTTGTATATTAAATTCCACCCCTTGGAATATAAGTGCGTACATAAAAAAAAATCAAATTACTTTTGCACTTGTTTTGATGCACTCTTAAGACGTTAAGTAAAGGACAATTGCCAATTATCCTGACTTTATGTGAGTGGATGTGTGTAAAAAATTTGTATATATGCAATACTCAAATAACATTTCATAAGACTGTTCATGAAGAATGGAGTAGCATAGCCAAGAGGGAAGGAGGTTTTATCACGCTGTTGGGCACCAATCGCAAATATTCTTTTCCCCTAACCAAATATTCCCTAAGTCCAAATGGTGGGATACTCCGGATGACAGTTTTGTTTACTACTTTATTGCATAAATATATCGTTCGGTTTAAGTGTGAATTGCAAAATATTTTAATTGAAATGTCGATTTCTAATGCTTAGTAGATTACAAGCAACGAAATCCTAAAATAGATATATTAAATTTATATTGAAAAAAGCTACAAAAAGTTGTATGTATAAGAAGTGGAAAAATATTTCAAAATGAGGGAACATCAATCTCTAAGTAAGAAAATTAATTCGTAATATACAAAATAAATATTGAAAGAAAAAATTAAAGAATTTATATACAAAATTCATTAGTTAAAAAATTTTTTTATGGTAAAAGTTGTGTAATTTTAAGGCAATATTTGAAATACAATTTTTTTTTTTTTTTTTGTAAAAATAAACATTTTAATTTGTTTTTGTAAATATGCATGCATGCAAACTTTAATTATGTATGTAAAAGTGTTTTCCATAACGATTTTATGGGAAAATTTGTTGCATCAACATTACTAAAGATACTTTAAGAATTCTAAAATTCTAAAAACTGGCTGATACGAGTATGTGAGGCAATGTAGCGAAATCTCAGCTACGCAAAAAGCCCATTGGAGAAATACTGACAGTTTTATAAGGAAAGAAATTAACATTAACAGAGAAAATTTAATTACCCGAGAAAGAGGTTTTCATTTTGTACTGAGAAATTTTTGAACTTACCTCTTGAATTTGTTGCTGCGTCTGCGATTTTTTGGAAAGCATCCAAATATGCTGCGATTGCTTGAATGGCAGCTCTGAAAATAAACAAAACAAACAAAATGAAAAAATAAATATTAACATTATTTAATATGTTTTTTGTGTTTGGGCATTGAGCATTTTATATTGTTTTGTTTATAGTAAAACCTATAATATTTTAAATGTTTTATTTTCGCTTACTTTTCCGCCAATTTTCAAATTTATACGGTCGATGGTCGGTATATATTTCAATAAATGGGGTCATTTAAGGTTTTTGGTCCGAAACTAATTTTGTTTATTTTAATTTCATTTGCACAAATTAAATTACACGTTGAAAATGTTTTTCTTCTATTACTTAAAAAGTATTTTTTATTTTATGTATAAAGTAATCATTTTATTCAATATTAAAATTTAGAAATAAAAGTTAATTTCTTTTTTTTTTTTTGATTAAAAATAATGTTGCTGTAATGAAGGGAAACTACCATGCAAAAGCTGTATAAATGTTTACCCGTATTATACTTTGAAATAAATGTGGAATAGAAAGAAAGGAGTTTTCATTTAAAAAACGTTAAAGTTCAAATTTTTTTTTTTAATTATAACTTGAAAATAATTATAAAAAAATTTTATGTTTAAAATTTAAATAAAATAATAATCATTATTTTTAATTTGAATAGAGGTTATTAATACCTCACCTCAAAATGTATTCGCGCCAGAATTATTTATAATGAATTATTTTATGAAATATATTTTATAACTCTAAAGTATATATTATACTTCTAAAATATATATTATACTTCTAAAGTATATATCACACTTCCAACTATATATTACGCTTCTACAGTAAATAATATATTTTTGAAGTATATATGTTATTACACTTCTAAATTATATATTATGCTTCTAAAGTATATATTATACTTCTGAAGTATATATCACACTTCTAAAGTATGTATTAAACTTCTAAAGTGTATATTATACTTCTAAAGTATATCTTGTATTTCTGTGTACTTGTAATTGTCAAATGCATTCATACACTTATAAAATCATACATATTGTACACTATCAATATCAAATAAATTATTATGATGCAAAAAAAAAACTAATATCTTTTATTTTCTCTATCAATCTATTATAGTTCCCGATCTTTCAAATGATCGAAATTTACTGTTAAATTTATTATAAAGCTTAAGCAAATTGATGGTCTACCTTAAAGTACAAATGATAGCTTGCCTTGCAGACCAGCTCACTTAAGCCCCATTATAAGGCTTGTAAGGCTATTGTCTACCCTAACTTAACATTAAAACTCTTTGATATAAATTGGTTAAACTGACCTACAACAGTGTATCTAAATCAAAATTTACAAAGAAAACTTCTATTCGGCGCTAGAATTATCAGTTAGTTATGTATATAATTGTCGTATACAGTTATGTAGTATGTATGTAATTACCACAAAAATTTATAAAATATGAAGACTCAAAGCAAGATTAACATTGTCAATTTTGCTGTTAAAGTTTTGAAACCCAAATACATCATAATTGAATGATATCATTACTACAGATATAGACAGTTCATTCACTACACGATAGTGGATTTGTATTATTAGTAATATTGTCGATAATATGATAAGAGTAATCCAACATTTTTTATGGCTCAATGTTCCCCTGGGAACGTACTGGATTGATTGATTGATTGAATCCAACATTTTCAATATTAGCTGAGATACAGAATATCTAAGCAATATCTATCTAAGCAATATTTAATAAATATTTTATCTTATATTTTATTTGTCTTCGTGCTGTATTTCAAGTATTTAAAAATGTTCATCATTCAGAGTTATATTTTTGGCAAATCTTTTTGAAAGATCCCCTTTTTCTTGAAATAATCGTAACATTCTTTCTTCTTCGTTTTCCTAAAACTATCAGTCAAAATATTCCAAATATTTGAATTTTCGGAAAGGTTTTGAAAATAATACTCGTTCAAAGTTAATTTTTCGTAATCTTTCAGAAGACCTCATTTAACATTATTTTTATACATTTCCTAAAATCGATATTTCAAAAGTGCTACTACGTTTGTTGAAAAAAAAATTAAAAAATTAAAAAAATTAAATATTTCAAAATGTTAATACTTTTCAAACTTGAAGATACTTTACATTTTAATATAACTTGTAAAGCAAAATATTACTAACAATTAATGTAACTACAAATATGCAAAACAGTTTAGCAATGTGGTTTACATTACAGCTACGATGTTAGTGTAGAAATATGCTTTTCTAGTATGAATTATGTGACTGTATAAATGAATTATTTATATAAAGAAAAAAAAAAGTGGTATAATAGTAGAGTAGAAAGGTATCGTATGTTGTCGGAAAAGCGGTATTGTTACGCTGAGAAAATTTACTTCCTTAAAGTTTTATCTTTGATATTTTCTTACTTTTTCACATAGAAAATTGTCATAATTGTAAATATTTGAAATTTATAGTATTAAGATATTTGAGAGGGTCTTTTGACAAAGTAAAAAAAAAGTGTTTTATTTAAATAAATAATATTTAATAATAAAGTATTTATATAACGTTAAACGTATTTCTATGTTTTACCAAGTTAAACCAATAACATAGCTTCAACAGGGTTTACTCTATATATTTGCGCTTGACTGTAATGTCAAATTTTTGAGGACATGGATTCTTGTTTGCTTTTTCCGGCAAACTATATTATGCCCTAATATACCTATATAACGTCTTCTAATATGAATAAAAATTATGTAAATTTATCTGTAAGAGATTTTTTTTTTTGTCTTTCAAGTTTTAATTTGCAGTTTAATAAAAAAATACTGAGATTAATCATAAAAATAAGCATATTCTCAACAATCTAATGTTTTACTTCAATATTGACTGTCTTCAGATACAAAAAGTAATATTGACTATTTATTGTTTCATTAATGTGATCTATAAGTACTAACATGTATAAGTTTATAAATTATAAATAATAAATCCGTAAAACCTGAACTACTTCAATTTGAATTGTTGAATTGTGTTAATATGTTTAACAACAATTATAAATGCAATTGTCATTTTATATTAAATTACAGATAATTGCTCAGTTTAACTATTTTTCATGCCAACTTTAATTACTATAATAAAATATTTAAGTGAAATATCTATGCTTTGCATATTTTTTAATAAGAAGCAATCAATTGGATATTTTAACACTTTACATTCAATTATGAAACAACAACGAGTCTACACCCATAATTATTTGTAATTAATTATAAAATGCTCATACACGACACATGCCAGATGATCATATATATTGTTAATTTATCTATTTTAAAATTAAAATATTTTTCTATAAATATTTATCTCTTTTCCAAATATTTTATTTTAGAAACTCACCGTAAACAAGCATGCAATTTTGTGGTCTTTGCAACAAAATCCTCCCAAAGCGGTGAAGAATTCTGTAATTAAAATGGAATATAAATTAATATTATTTATTCGTAATATAAAAAAATTTTAAAAATTATTAAAGTAATAATTATACATATAAAATTAATTACAAATCAAACACGTGCTTCATTTTAGACATAAAATTTTAAATTATCTATATATTTAAAATAGTTCAATAAAAGGTTAATAAAATAACCCAGTAATTTATTATGCTACCGCGATTTTAAATAATATTATTTTTGTTTAATGTGGCATAATTAATTGTAGAATTTATCAATAATAATGTTATTTAAGCATTTATTTATGTGATAAATATAAAAGTTAATATTATGCGTTCTGTTAACCTAATTAATTAATAATTTTGAGATAACAAAATATGCATATTATACGACTCAATCTAACAAAGAATGACTGTAAAATTCGGTAAATTTGGGTTGATCGTGATTCCTGAAGGAGTTGAAGGCCACATCTCAATCAGCCCACGAAGAACATGATTGATAAAGTTGTATAGCAATATTTGAAGGTCTGTTTTGAATAAAGTATTTATTGTTTGATAATTTATATTATTTAATTTAATAATTTTTTCATATAATGATAAACTTTTAAAATATATAAATAAAAATAAATTTTATAAAATAAAAATATTTTATGCTTTAATTTGTGACCATAAATATTGTATATAATAGAAATAAAAAACAACTATAATTTATTATTTATATTTAAAAATAATTTATATTTTATTAAAATATTTTTCCGATATTTCGACTATCTTCTTCAGGGAAACTGAAGATGTTTATCGAAGGTAGTCGAAATATTTTTTTTTATTTCTATTTAAATGACCAATATCCCGCTAATAAAGTACTATAAAATAAAAATATGTACTTTTAAAAATAGAGTACTTTATCACATTATATTTACACAACACATTAGATAAGTTTATTCAACTGCTACAAATGATATAAAAATTTAAAAGTTCATTTTATATTTTCTAACGTTTTATGTAGTCTATTTAATTACGGGTAAAGGAAAATATAACATCATTACTTATTAATGCAAAAATACCGGATATTAACAACATAAAGTTGGCATCTAATAAAAAGGAAATACTTGCAAAAAAACATGATTTTTAAGTTATAATTAACATAAAATCATATCTCAGCCATAAAAAATTATTGGAAAGAAACAAATTAAATTAAATCATGAGATGCAACATTCATCGATAATCTGTACTATTTTTTAATATTCATATGATTTTCTATTGATTTCCGTTTTACTCTGGGCAATAACCGTGTAACAACGAAAGTATTTTCTCAAGAGTTTTTCAATCAGGATTTTATATTTTTAATTACCTTGAAAAATTTTCATATTTAATCATACACGATCGGGAGTATAAGTGCCTGCTTTAGTAGTCTTTATGCCGCTTGACCGACATGTATATTGATTGCATTTGGTCGTTGACATACATTTTTAATTTTAGAAAAGATGCTGGCAAGAAACTCTATAGGAAAAATAATTTATATAATTTTTATTAGCCAACAACGTTGCAGGCTGATACACTTGGCTTTTTCATATGATATGTTGCATACATAAGTGGCATAGCACAATTTTTTGATAATGAATCATTCATTGGATGCTGCTCTTTTTTATGTAGGTAGGTTGGATAAAAATTATTTAAAAAAAAATAAAATTATGCCTGGTATCATTAAAATATTTTATATGAACTATTAAAAATCTAATGAACTGCCTTCTTTTTTAATAAATAATCGTGACATTATTCTATAGAAAATAAATATATTTTATTTATATTTTTATAACGTATGGTAAATAAAAATGTATGATTAAACTGAATCTTATTAGTTAAATAATGCGAATTTTGTGGTAAATAAAATAATTTTTTTAACCACCTATATTCATCAATGCATCCAGATGGTTTTAAAATGAATCTGAAGAAATGTATAATTAAAAATGCTTTCTAGCTAATTGATAAAGATTTAATTCTTAATTTATTTATCATTTATTTGTTAAGTTATTATTTAGGAATATTTAAATTAAGAAATGATAGACAAATAATTATATAAGTTCCAAATTTTTAATGATCTAATGCAGGGTTGTCAAAAGTACGCGGCTAATGTTCGTGTGGCCCACAACATGTTTTTAATCTACTATAATTACGCAAATTTTCCTTTGCGGTACTGGTAAAACTATGTTATTTTATTTTTATTGTATACCAAATAAATAAATTTAAATTGATAAATTAATAAAACTAAATTAAACATATAACCGTATTTTTATTTTTGTGCAGTGATTGGTATTAGCCCGCAATCGCAATTGGTTTGGACAGTCCTGACCTAATGCATTGCATCAAGATGTATAGACTAGTCAACGTGCTTTTATTAGAAAGTCATCGATAATATGGGCGACAGTTTACCCATTTTGAATCGGTTTTTAAGGCCTACTTTATATTTGCTGCATTCGCTCAAACTATTTATACACAAAGCCTATTTAAATTACACAAAATTTTTCATGATAAGTACTAGAATATGCATATAGAAAAAATGGAATATATCCTCCACACTTGAACCAGTTAGCTTACCACTCTTTATTGATTTAAAACTAGATTTTTTAGAATATTAACTTTTATTTCGATTGTATTTTTTGTATATTCCTATATGTATTTCGGTAAATTCGCTTTTGCATTCATCAGGAGAATTCCTAATATCAATGATTTTGGATTTACTAAATTTTCGATTTTTTCTTAATTCCGTAGACTTCGTTGCTATCCGATTAATTGAATAATCAAATAGTTTTCGGTTTTTAAAGTAACCGAATAATTTTAAGAGCACTATTTAAACCAAGAAAGCAATGAAATTGAAATGTATTTTAAAAAATTTCAAATAATGACGTTTAAAATTTTATTAAAATTTTTGTCTGAACTAAAACTGTTTCAAGTTTATTAGACGAAAACAATTTTTCTGGTTGAGGTTTCACAACTATAAGAATAGTGCCTTGGTAACTATAATAAATATAAAATCAGTATAAGTATTAGCTATACATATAATTGTAAATATGTAAATATGTTAGTTTTTCAAACATGGTTTTCATAAATTCAGATAGGATAGATTACCATATAATCTAATATTTAAAACTTCTGAAAACGCAAGAAAAAATATAATTATTATTTGACATACTTATTTTCAATAGCGTTAAAAGAAAATTTTAAATCAACCATCTACATTTCTTGGCTTGGAGGAACAATATAATTATTAGATTAAAGGTTAGACCATTACTTACAATAGTCTTACGCTACTATGGACCCAAACGCCACTTTATCTACAAACTGTAATTTACCTCAAAATGGTGATATACTTGATGAGGAAGTAAACCTGTACCGTACAACAGATAATGTCAACTCGCACCGTTTGTACGCAATGCGCTTTGATCATAATTATGCAGCAGTCCAAGCACCAACTGAAGCTGAGAATAATAGTTTTATTTCAAAACAAACCAGTCAGATTCAAGGTGATTACGCATCTGTTGCAATAAATAATGATTCACAAGCTGCAACTAGTGATATAGACTCTGGAGAGGAAACAGAGACCGCTTCCGAAAGTATGGAATATAATGATGAGTTAAATCGTGATTTAGTTCATGATGACGGGTAAATTTTAAATATATTTTTAGTGGTTGATATTTATTTCAAAAATTAATATTATTAATTACAGTAATTACAATGAAAATATAAATGGACCGGATGTTAAAGTAACACCAAAGAAGAATAGATTGCAAAATAGAAAAATTCATGGAGAGTTAAAACATGGTATGGTTCTTAGGAAACCGAAGAAAACTATAGTTCGAAAGTCCCAGATAAATAAGACTGGCGGAACGTTGTCTGCTGACAAAATTGTTGGTAAAAAAACAAAGGAAACAACCAAGGAAAAATCTTAAACAGAGTAAATCGCATTATATATAAGCAAAACAACAACTCTTATGAATCAAATAAGAATTGTATTACTAACTAATAAACAGAAATTATTATAATCCTAACAAATATGTTTATATAAACTATAAACTTAAAAATTGAACTGTAAACTTTTGGGCAATGGTTATAAATATATTATTTCAACATAATTTTAAGTGATGAAAAGTGTAATAAATTTTGCAATATTCACGTAGGATAATTTTTCTGTAACTCTTATATACAAATACATTTACAACCATAAAATTTTTATCAACGCAGCTCATTATATTATTCCCAGTTTATTAAATTACAAAGAAATTTATTAAGACTGAAATGTATTATATATTTTATAATTTAAACTCATTTATTTTACAATATAAAAATTTATTTTGCGTTTTGTTGTCTGCAAATTTAATTTTATTTATATCAGAAAATTTTCATTTGTTATAAAAATTTTTTTTTTTAAAAAAATTATTAATAAAATTTATTGTGTCATTTTAACGTAAACTAAATGTAGTTGACTACTAAGTAAAATATTTTCCACGCTCTTCCGAGCACCCACATATGGTGTGGTGTCAACGTATAATTGAAATTTAACTTTAAAAGATTTAAATGCTATATTCAAAATGTTGAAATAAATATTACTCATAATGGAAAATGTTATATTAAAACATTATTTACTTTGATTCAATATATGTTAATGTAAAGTCTTCAAAACCACCATTAAAGGGTGGCTTCATATATTCTCTTGCAATGACGTCAGTTAATGCAACTTAAATATTACTTTTTTTATAGCTTGAAATACAGTTTAATAAGAAAAATTTTAATTAATATTTTAAAAATAACTTTTAATTAGAATGAAGAGGAAAAGTGTATAAAGTATTGAATTAGCAAACAATTGGTGTCACTGCAACATAAATAGAATGTGGAATTAAGTTTATAAAGTAAATCTTTAAATGCCAAATGTCAACGAACAAAGAATTTACAAATCAAATTGTAAATGTCAACAAAGAAAATTATTATCACAATAAACTAAATAAAAATAAAATTCATAAAATTTAAATGCTAACATATTGTATACCTATGTTATAAGAAAAAGCTTTATGAGTATAACTTAAACAAGTGTATATTGAACTTTTATAAAAACATTATTTAGTATTAATATTTAAGATTGAAATCTGAGCAAATAAATCAAAAACAATTAAAATGCACTTTAAATATCATAACTTTTAATTGTTTGCAATGAATTTATACTCATATAACGCAAAATTGATCATGAAAACTCAATGATTTGTAACTTAAGTTCAAGCTACACATATGAAAAGTGCATAAGTATCTGAAACCAGAGTACTTACACTTACTCGTGAATACAGTAAGAACATTTTATTCATTCACACATAATGGCAATGGTCTGATATATCATTATACTCTGGCTGACATTGGTTATTTTTTACGAAATTCAATGTACGATTCAATTAAGAGTGGTTTCGCCAGAGTTGAAGGATCAACCAAACCAGATTTATCACTTCACGCATAAGTTCTTACTTCATATGAGAGAAGTATAAGAAGTATAAATAATATGTACAATTTTTTTTTTTAAATAACATATTATCGTTTATTGTTGTTTAAACACGTAAAAGGTTATGAAAAGAGAAAACGAGTTTAAAAACGAGTAACAATTTATTTATTTTTTTATCTCAACAGCAACAATGAAATTGCAATTCCAATCCAGCAGTAAAAACTAAAACAGAAAGGCCATAAAATATAGAAAAACAGAAGAATATAGATTATTATTGGTAGATACTGAAAAACAGCAGTAAACCAGTACATTTTATAAAAACAAAAAAACGTGTGATTCTTTAAAAAATACACTGCTATAATGACAATTAAATATTATTTAATAATTGAAGCAGCAGTTGTTTTAATATATTAAGAAAATTACAATTTCTTAACAACAAATTAATAAACTTAACATATGCTAAAGATAATGGCTTCCAAAGACAATACATAGTCTTAAAAAGCCACAAAAATTATTTTTAACCATTTTAATGGCTATTAATGGTAGTTAAATGAGAAACATGAAAGCAAGAAAACTACTTTTCATAGAGTTCGATTGTAGAATTACACAATCTGACATTGAAAATAAAAAACGAAAAATTATGGTGAGATCATTTTTTTATAAATCATAGATGAATGATGTGATATATGTATATTATTAGAGAGCTTAATATTTTATTTCTAGAAAAAAAAATGTATGACACACACAAACTTTATTAAATACTTAATAATAATATAATTATAGTATATTTTTTGATTTGTTTTTAACTTATAAACTCTGAAAAATTACTGAAATCGTTTAATTGTAACAAATTAAACAAAAAATATATATTGCGAATTAAATTTAACATTAAAGTTTGCAGTGTCTCTTAATTTATATGTTAAATATTAAAGCTACAATATGTGGCAAAATATTTTCGCACGAGTAAGCAAAGAAAATGAGAAAATCTGATAAAAATAAAAAGATTTTTGCACAATACTCCAAACATAAAAATAAATAAAATTTAAAATAAATTTTTAGAGGTAATTGAAAAAGAAAAATAAAAATTTACATAAAATCGCAGTAATTCGGAAATAAAATGTATATAAACTAAATTGAATCGCATAAAACCTGAAAAAAGCTAACTAAAAACTGGAAAAGAGAATTGATTTGTTGAGACATTAAAATCTGCACATTTCAGGGAGACAGTAGATCCTACATATATAAAATATTAAATTTTAATATAAATTTAATAAAAAATAAAAAACAAATCCTATTCTATTTAATAAAAATATTAATATATATAGTAATATAGTAATATATAGTAATAATATATAATAATAATACATTAATGTTAATAATAATATATACAACAATAACGATAATAATATGTAACAATAATAACATATATAACAATAATAATAATAATATGTAATAACAATAATATATATAACAATAACAATAATAATATATAATAATAACAATAATAATGTATAAAAACAATAATAATATATAATAACAACTGTAATAATATATAAAAATAACAGTAATAGCATATAGAATAACAGTAATAGCATATAAGAATAACAGTAATAGCATATAAGAATAACAGTAATAATAGAACCTACATATAATAATAATAATAGTAATAATATATAATAATAACAGTAATATGTAATAATAACAGTAATAATATATAATAATAGCAGGAATAATATTTAATAATAACAGTATTAATATACAATAATAACAGTAATAACATATACCATAATATTAATACATATTACATACCCGCTATTTTGAGCAAATCTTTCCATTATATGTAAATATAGCTTACTTTTCGAGATATTTATAGATGGATAATTTTGTATGAAAACCACTAGCATGCGAAAAATCGGAATGCTTATGATCTTTATCATACTGTTATAGAATGAACAGACGTATAGAGATGGAAACCGACTATTACCATAATTTAATGAGAAAAATCATATAAATAACTTATGGTTCTGTCAAGAAAATCGATGACAAATTAAAATAATACACAAAGATTAATAGTAAAAGGCTTAAATGTGTCAGTTGTATTATAGAAAGGCAGACACCAAAATTAGAGCAGACTGATAGAAGCAGAAACAAATCAGTACGCTATCTTTAACTGTATATTTATCTATATAAAATAAAATTATATAAATATATAGATATCTTTATCTGCTATATTTATCTTTATCTGCTATACTTATCTTTATCTTTACCTTTATCTGTGTATAGTAAATAGGTTATATATGCCAGTTGCCTTATCAAAAAACAGACAAAGTTAAAGCCTTTAACGCAGACTACCAGAAGACAAGAACATAAAGTGAACTTACAAAATATGGATCAAAAAGTGAACGCAGATTTAAAAAAATTTATGTTAGTTAATAATGTATGAAATAACGTCAATATGAAATCAAGATTTGCAGTGTGAACATAGTAAACCGAACACGCAAAACTATAATCAAAACCCATTCGTGCTATGTGAACATGCATTTTGTGTAATAAGGACATTTTACAAACATCCATTTAGCTAAATATTTTCACTACATAATGTTTAGGATTATTTATTTGTAATCTTATATTTAAATATAATATTTATGTAAAACACTAGCATTGTATTGTTGTTTTTTAAATTATCATTTATCGAAATTCTTAACGTTTGACGTCTGAACATATTTGATTTTTTATATAGATATAAAAATATTTTCTTCAATCAAAAATCAAAAGAGTTTATTATAAATATATTTTTTGTGTAAATGTTTGAATAAATTTTCTATTCATCAAAAAAATGTAGACAAATTAAACTCAAAAATAACATTACAGTTTATATGCAAAAGCATTAAAAATTATTATTTTTTCTTTAAAGAAAAGTTCAGCAAACATAAAAAATAGACATGACAATAATGAGACAAACAAAAAAGAGTTGTAAACATTTTTTATTACCAATGGAGACGCACCTTAAGTGGTCGATTAAATAAAAAACCGCAAAAGGTTAATTTAAAAAAATGAACAAATGAATTTTTTGATTATCGGTAGGTAAGTCGCAACGTTTCAAGTTGTGCTAAATGACAAACTTAATGAGGCATTAATGTGCATTTTAAATAAAGTTTACAACCTGCATTTATGCACTTTTTCTACAAAACATAAATACACTGAAAAAAATTCATGTGCATAAGTTGAAGATGTGAACCAGGTATTTCAAATGATTCAATTTTATTTTACAATTTATATATATAAGTATTAACAAAGAATTTTAATGAAAGACATATTGTATTAACGATATACGCTGTCCAATCAAATTTCACTTAGATCTGATCTTGGACTAAAGTGTCAAAATAAAAATAAAAGCATTAGGTATCGTAGAGAGTACAATTAAATACCTTTTGCAAACTGACTTTGTCGAATCATATTTAATGGTTAATCACTCTAATAGATCTTTTTTTTTAATAAACTTAACATATTTAGCATTGGTATTTCACAAAGGACTGTTAATAAATTAAATAAAAAAGAAAAAACAAATTATTTTGTAGAATTTTAA